TCAAAATTTTTTTTGTGTTTTGGTTTTTTTGGGGGAAAAAAAAAAAAAAAAAAAAAAAAAAAAAAAAAAAAAAAAAAAAAAAAACTCTCAAGACATAAATGTTTTTTCAATCCTTTTTCTCGCCATTACTTGCTGCCCATGATCCCAAAGCTCCCAATCCATAAACTTGCTTTTTAAGGACATAAATTCTCTTTCCCAAAATACCCTTCTCCAATTTTGCCCCCTTGCCAATTCAGTGCGTCAGTGGCAACTAACGTAATTAAGCGACTAGCCGTGACGATTTTGTGAAGAAACTCGCGCCATATAATTTTAGCGGGAGTGGAAGTTGGAGAGAGAAATAGAGAGAGAGAGAGAGTCCAACTAGGCAGCATTTTCTCTCTCCAAAACCAGCTGTTATCATTCCCTTAACTGCCAAACTTTTGGATTCTCGATCGACCATTCGTTTCTCTTTCCTTTCTCTCTCTGTGATTGTCAAATTTCTCTTTTCAATACAAATACAATTGTCCAAATATACAATGACTTAAAGTTTATTTCCTTTTAATATTTTTCTCTGTTTGTTTCCCGTCCCTACAGCATCTTTCATTCTCTCTTATGCACCCTTTTTAGCTTCCTCTTCATGCCATTTCCGATTCGCAGATTCCTCACCCATTTTCTCTACATACGTTTCCTCACCCATTTTCTCTCTCTCTCTCTCTCTCTCTCTATAAAATTTAACTCCCATTTTCGTCCATTTGCTAAAAAACCCATTCCTCTTCTATCTTTAGTCTCTAAGCTTCTTTCTCTCAACAGAACTGCTTAATTTGCCCATTTCACGAAGTTCTTTGGGTTTCTTTCGTTTTTGTTCTCTTTTCGTTTTGGGTTTTCTTGAATGCCGATTTTGTTGTGACCTGATCCCCTGTTTCTCAACCGCACAGTCATTCTTTTCTTTTCTTTTCTTTTCGTTGTCGTTGTGTTTCAAGAAATTCATTTACGTTTTTTTACACAATCTTGATCTCTTGTGTCCTTTTCAAAAAGCCATCTTCTGGTAAACTTGGAAGCTCGTCGGGATCAAAATGCTTGACGGGTTTTTGAAGTCCAAGTTCTACACCAAATGGTAAACTTATTCTTATTGTTTTTTTTTGTGAATATATATGTTTTTTTTTTCCCCGTGTTTCCGTACATATTTTGACGTTTAATTTCTGGGTCTTTTTCAATGCAGCAAAACAAATCTGAAGCTCATCAAGACACGAGTCGAAACCACAAAGAAGAAGAAGAACGCCGTGCAGAAGTTTCTGAAGAATGATATCGCCGATCTTCTCAGGAATGGCCTTGACGTCAATGCCTATAACAGGGTAATTAATAAGTTGAAATCTTGAATAACGTTTTAGTTTTGCTTTTTCCCGTAAGTTTTGTTTGGCTCTTGCGATGAGTATTTTCCTATTCCTCAAAATTTTCCGGCATTTTCTCCCTGTTGTTGCATTGTAAATGTAGTGGTGAACCATGAGACACGTCCACATGGAGAGTCTTTTCAGCATCTATTCACGTCGTGTCTCGATTTTGAAATGGTCAACCACAGAAACCAAACTTCTAAATTCATCTGTTTTTCATGGCTGGCACGGCTTCTTTTTTTGTTTTTCTTTCCGTCCTGGTCTTTTGTGCTGCTTTGGTTGGTCTCTTTCCAAACAGTCCGTAAATTTCTCAAAAGGTTATTTTTAAGTTTTTTCACCTTTTGTCTATGTTTATGGATTAGGGATTTACAAATCAATATCTACTCTCAACTATTTTGTTTTGCAATAGTAGATTTATTAATTAAATTCCTAATTGAAGCCATATGCAACATGGCTGATGATCCATGATTTTATAGACCTATGAATATTCTATGTGACAATATATTTATTTATTTATTTTTTTTTGGGTTAAGCAGGCTGAAGGGTTTCTGATTGAGCAAAATATGACAGCCTGTTATGAATTGATTGAGAATTTTTGTGGTTGCATCTCAAGTAATCTCTCTCTCATGCAAAAACAGAGGTATGTATTGCTTCCAAAACAAAATAATCTCTCTCTCTCTCTCTCTCTCTCTCTATATATATATATATATATATGTATGTATATAAATTTACGTGTGTGTTTGTGTGGATAGCACACTATTACACCAATATATGTACAAATATGCACATCTTTGTTTAAGGCTACGTCATTTCATTTGCAGAAGTACTTGCTGATCATGTGCACAATGGTCCCACCCCATCAAGCAATATTTTATCATAATTTAATTTTGATTACTGATTATTATGAATTATTTTTTTTTTTTTTTTTTTTTCAAAAATGTTCTTAGGGAGTGCCCGGAAGAGTGCAGGGAAGCTGTTTCATCTCTGAATTATGCTGCAGCGAGGTTTGCCGATTTGCCCGAATTACGTGATCTCAGGAGCATATTTACCGAAAGATATGGAAATTCTCTTGATAGTTACACAAGTAAAGAGGTAACTATTTTCGTCTATGCTTAAAAAAATTGGTACATCTAATTGAATAAGGTGCAATTTCCATTATTGGCTTAGGATTGACCCACGTTTTATGATACCTTTGTGCTTAGTTCGTGGAGAGGTTGAGGCAAAAGGATTTTACCAAAGAGATGAAGCTTCAATTATTGCAAGATTTTGCAGAGGAATTATCCATTGAATGGGATTCAAAGGCTTTGGAACAGAAATTGTTTACTCCTCCACCCGTACAAGTAAGCCTTCATATACATCACACTATCTGCCTTCTATTTTCAGTGCCAATATAAAGCAAATCAGAATTCTAGGATACAAACAAAAGAGCATCTCCAGTGTGGCACTAAATTAATGCGCAAATGTCAAATTTTTGCGTTTGAGTAGAACAATGACGTTTCAATACGCTATTACTTTTGTCTTTTAGTGCTAAAATTTGTGTATGCTATACTTGACCCCAAATTTGTCACCGAATATGGCATTTGTGAAATTTTACATTTAGTTGATGTGTTGATTTTGGCTAATGATTACAACATTGTCGTGGTCTTAGACCTTTTGTTAGGCAAGATTCTCCATTAGTTACTATTTAATGATGCTTTCTAGCTTTATGTGAAGGAGTACTTACCAAAAGACGATATATGAGGTTATCGCATCAACGCTGCTTTTTGCTGATGTTTTTTTCTTGCAATGTGTTAAAACCATTTTGTAGAACCAATCAAAGTATGGATCTTTAAGCAACAATAACGACGAGAATTTCAGATCTCATAAAAGCAATGAAGCTGCTTTTGCCAGAAGAGACACTCAGACTCGGGATCCAGAAAACAAGTTGAGCAACAAAAAGAACTACACTGCATCAGAAGAATGTGAAACGGACCATACATCTCGCCATATCAAGAACGTCTCCCGCGATAGATACAAGCTGCAGAGCAGTAGCGAGGACGAAACTATCACGGATTTTTCTCAAGATGAGCGGAAGACGTCCTCGAGTTCGACAGGAAGTGTTTCGGAGGGTGATGCAGATAGCAAGAGGCCCTTCTATCACAAACTCATCCGCCCCCCCTACCTCAAACCAAAAGCAGAAAGAAGTGTTGAGGAACCTCCGAAGCCGAATGCTCATTTTGATCAAGTTGAAGCAAATGATCTGCAAGACGATCCTGTCGAAGAGGATAAGCCAAAACCGAGATCAGTGAGACAGAGAAATCTGAAACCACCACCGGGCTATAATGAAAATTCTGGTGGCACAAAACAGGAAGGAAGGCGGGCATTGAGAGTCATGAATTATGGTGATTCGAGGGATGAAGAAGAGAAAATGATTGATGGGCTTTTGATGCATTATAGTAACAAAAGATCACCTCATGAGTATGGTGAATCTAACACTTCAAAGAGTAACAGAAGTAGGAAACCAGGATTGGCCACGCCACCAGGCAGAGTGTCCTCTCTTCCCCCAGAGCCGACGTCTGCGCAGGTGCCACAGAGAGGGCATGCTAGAGCGGTTTCGTTGCAGCCGGAAATGCTGAGCACAGCCCGTCATGTCCATCCTAAGCTGCCGGCCGACTATGATGAATTGGCTGCACGTATTGCAGTTCTTAGAGGAAAATAGAAGAAACATAAGACATTGTTTAGCCAGCTTATTCATAGAGGAAAAGGTTTATCAGATGGCCTTGTAGTTGTCACGCTATTCACCTCCATATTATGATTTACTGATCATATTCAAAGGTGACTTATTGATCATTTGTAATTAGCTCCAGATTATGGTTTACTGGTCATATTCATAATGATTTACTGATCATTTATACTTAGATCCACAGTATGATTTACTATCAATAAAGAAAATACAAGATGAACTCAAGATAGACCTAAAGAGCTAACTTCAAAGCAATGAGCGTTCACGAATTAAAAGATTGAAAACAATTTGTAATGTGCCTGTCGCTTGTATCCTCATTGACATCAAACGTAAAACCGTTAAATAAGAAACCACAGGCAAAATTTCAGACTTGTGTCATTTTCATTAAAGAAAATTTAGACTTCAATAAAGAAAAAAAAGAAAGCTAAAATTTAGAGGCAATGAACCTGTTGCCTGGACGTTCGAAATGACAGCAGAAAAGTTTTTGTCGTTTTCAGTTAAAACGACAACACAAATTCAGAACACACTAAACACGCTTCTTAACGACTAAAACAACAAGATGTTTTGTGTCCATTTTAAATTAGAGCGACGTACATGAATATAAACACGTCGTTTGGACGAGAAGAACGACAGAAAATTCTGACGTCTTAATTTTAACAACAAAATTTAACACGACATGAAACATGTCGTTAAGACGAATCAAAAGGACAAAAGAATTCTATTTCACTCTACACTACAACAAAAGTAAACAACCATAAACCTGTAGTTTGGGCAAAAAAATGCGACAGGAGAAGTTTAATTACGTTTTTTTTTTTTTCCTTTTTTTAAATAAAAAGAAAAATCTTAATCGACAACCAAATTTTAACGCCTGTAAACACGTCCATGAATTTTAGACCACGGTAAATATGTCGTTCAAAGACTAACTACGTGACTATTTTCTGTCGTTTTCAATTCAAACGGTAACTACAACCAAATTTTAACGCCTGTAAACAAGTTTATTTAGGTTGGGCGTGTCTCACCTTTCAATTTAAACACAACGAATTTTAGACTACGGCAAACAGTTGTTGTTGAGGACTTGAGGTGAAGAATGAATATTTTAGGTCGTTTTCAATACAAACGACAACAAAATTTTAGACAACACTAAACACCTAGTTTAGTCGAATAAAACGACATGTGGTTTCTATGCCGTTGTTCAACTAAAACGGCAACCAAATCATAGACGAGATGTCGTTTATCCGGTAGAAGGACAACAAACCTTTAAGCGAAAACGTAGAGAAAATATATAGTAACATGCTCAACATTTATCGATTTAAATTTTTAATTTTAAATTTATATAATTAAAATTTTTTAAAAAATATCACATTTAATATTTTTATTATAATAAAAAATTTTTAAAATTTAAATTAAATTAAAAACTCAAATTGGCGTGGCCGTAGTTAGCCTTTTGGTTTGGTTTCTCTTAAAAAAAATAATAAAAAATAAAAAATCTTGCGTCAATGGAGGAGAGAGCCGAATCTTCTTCTTCTTTTCCGGCAGTAGCATCAGAAAAGTCGGAGGAGCAGGTGATGAGCGAGGTACACTTGGGTTGCCCTTCTGGTCTCTCTGGGTCCCACTATTCCCGCTTCACCTTCTCCGTTCCGCCTGATAAAGTTAATTTCATCCCTCTTCTGCTCCGCTCAGTTTCAGCCATAGAATTAGGATTCTTCATATTTTATTCTATTCTTACAATGTAATTTATTTCCATACAAAATTCAGGGACAAAATTTCCATTTTTCGGTTGTTTTTTTTTTTGTTGGATTTAGTCAGAAGGTGAATCAGCTTCAACGGATAAACCAATTAGGATTGATGAGGATGGTGATCTTGTTCTCACTAGACGCAGCAGTGAGTCCTCGCTTCTCATAATCTCTAATTAGGTCTCCAAATTAACTTGCTTAGTAAAAATTAACTGATAGCAATGTCATTTAATAGAGCTCTTAACTGAAAAAAATGCAGAATCACGTAAACAGAGCTTTAATGTGGTTATTCAGCACAATATCACATCATCAATTCCAAATGTGGGCCTGCAGGTAAGCTTTGGTGTCTTTTGATTATTATCTCTTCTTTATGTTTGTTACATTTCATAAAACGTTAAAGTTTAACCATTGTTATTTCCAACTCTATTACGTATGTTACTACACAAAATTGTGATGCCACTGCGGATAATAACTTACTAAAAAATAATCTGCAAGTTACGAAAGATAACTAGTAGTATAACTGCAGGTTACGGAGGACAATTTGCAGAGCTTTAATGTGGTTATTCAGCACAATATCACATCATCAATTCCAAATGTGGGCCTGCAGGTAAGCTTTGGTGTCTTTTGATTATTATCTCTTCTTTATGTTTGTTACATTTCATAAAACGTTAAGTTTAACCATTGTTATTTCCAACTCTATTATGTATGTTACTACACAAAATTGTGATGCCACTACGGATAATAACTTACTAAAAAATAATCTGCCACTACGGATAATAACTTACTAAAAAATAATCTGCAAGTTACGAAAGATAACTAGTAGTATAACTACAGGTTACGGAGGATAATTTGCAGGTTATGAAAAAATAACCTGCAGGTTATTAAAATAGTGTTACTTTAATGATGTCATTTTTAGTTTTCTCGCTTGTTTATATATGTATGGGTGTGGCCACTGATGGAAACTTAACCACTGAAAACTCATCCAGATATATATGTAGACACACACACGTGACCTGATTCTGTCCTTCAGGTGTGGAGAGCAGAGTTGCTGTTATCGGATTTTCTGTTGCATAAGATGTCAACCTCGTCTGAATTTGAAGGGATTGTCTCACTAGAACTTGGTGCTGGTACTGGTAAGTTGATTACTAGTACTTTTACTATTGTTATTTGTCTGTGCAGATGATTGTGTACACTATACAATGCAAATCCTGATATGAAAAAAAAAAAAAAAGAAAAAAAAAGTCAATTGGAAACGCTTACATCTTAATTTACAGAAATCCATTTGATTTCTTTATCAGGGTTGGCCGGTTTATTACTTGCCCGAGTCGCTAAAACAGTGTTTTTAACAGGTACATTACTACATTTACTGTGCTTCTTACTTTATCTCTTCCTTCTTTTGGGATTTAAACGTCAAGTTGTCAAGAGGATTTAAGAAGCATTTTGTCAAGTGATCAAAAAATGTGGTGTACTTGTTAGCTTAATCTATATCACCTATGCGACCTATTTCGAGCTTCTTACCCCGAAAAAAAAAAGTCAATTGGAAACGCTTACATCTTAATTTACAGAAATCCATTTGATTTCTTTATCAGGGTTGGCCGGTTTATTACTTGCCCGAGTCGCTAAAACAGTGTTTTTAACAGGTACATTACTACATTTACTGTGCTTCTTACTTTATCTCTTCCTTCTTTTGGGATTTTAAACGTCAAGTTGTCAAGAGGATTTAAGAAGCATTTTGTCAAGTGATAAAAAAATGTGGTGTACTTGTTAGCTTAATCTATATCACCTATGCGACCTATTTCGAGCTTCTTACCCCGAAACATTATCTTCTGTTAACGCCAACAGACCATGGTGATGAGATACTTGACAATTGTGCCCAGAATGTTGACCTTAATTTTGAACTATTCAATTGTCAAGCAACCGTTCATGTTCGTGAACTTGATTGGATGAGTTCCTGGCCTCCTAAAATATTCCTAGAAGAATCCACTAATTTCAACAGGTGAGATTTTTACTTGTAACAATCTTCCTTGTTTTTCTCTTCTTTTCTCCTCCCCTGGATTGGTGATGTATTAAAAAGTAGGCATAATGTTGTAAGAACAGTGTTCTACACGTTTTAACATCTTTAATTGGGGAAACATAAGTCGGTTAATTTGATGGTATTTATTAGGTATTCTTGGACCGCCTCCGAAGTTGAAGAAGCCCAGGAAGCTTCATTGCTTGTAGCCGCAGATGTAATCTACAGTGATGACCTCACAGATGCATTTTTCAGTACTATAGAGAGCTTAATGTGCCTTGGTTCAGAAAAGGTACTTGTAAAGGCATTAGAACAGCCCATAGTAAGAGTTGCAAGTAGCCAAGTACTATATCTGGAAAGCATAATGAGATTTTGTTCATTTCCTGTTTTAAATACAAGACTTAAACACCCAATACATGGATAGTTTTGTAGACGAGGGTAGAACATACTTTCTCAGTTTGGGCCATTAATGGTACTCATCATGTTTATCAGGTGTTATACTTGGCATTGGAAAAGCGCTACAACTTCAGCCTCGACGATCTTGATGTCATTGCAAATGGTTATTTGCATTTCCGAAGCTATCTGCGAGATGAGGAAGGTAAGGTAACCATGTCCTTGTGTGGTTGTTTCCATCATGAGTAATTATCATCATTCCTTCTGGTATTTAGCTTTGGAATGGATAGTTGCAGAGTGTGAAGGCGCTGAAGTCTGCTCAACACCTTGCTTTGTGGGCAAGCGCATTGACATCACACAGATTCCTCAATATGCGAGAGAGTATGACAGAGGAAGCAATGTGGAGATTTGGAAGATCAAGTACAACAGAAGAAGATCTTGAACTAAGGTTCCTACTTTCTACCTATGACAACAGGATATCCCAAGTTATTAGACAATTCTTCTGCTTTGTAAAGGTGCATAAGATTTTGTTGTTTCCAGCTTGAAGGATGATCATGAAACTATTAGGCTGGAAAGTGGGCTTGGTTAATGGGCCCATTTACAAGTTTCTGCAGTCCACAAATGCCCTTAGCCCATGCTGAATTTTTCACCAATATCAAGTCTGAAACTTGGGAAACCCTAAACTAATGACATCTAGAGGAATGCCCTTTTAGTATGTGAGCATAAACATTGTTTTTTTTTTCCTCTGAAATTTGGATTTTGGAGGCTTTGGATTGGGATTGGGAATTTTTCTTCTCCCCAAACGCCAATCTGGTTTGGATTTCTAATCCAAATTGCTCCAAACCCATGAGAAAAACAGCCTATAAATTAAATGAGCAGAATTCTAAAAGGAAGACACAAATGAATTAGTAGAAGAGCACTATGTTCTAATTTTCTCTTCTTAAACTCAAGGCAAAGCATGAATCTGATTAAAATCATATTAAAATAAAAAAAATATGCAGACTGGACAATTATAAGAATTTTACTGTTGAAAAAGCGAACTAGGAGTGGTTTTTCGAGCCCTATTATAAAAATCTCTAAAAACAAAAAAGAAAAATGCCGCCTTGCATGGTTAAATAATTGAAGAGAGTAGTGCACATAAGGGTCCGTTTAGTTCGTTGATTCGAATTTTGAGTTAATATATGATTTTATGTGAAAATTTTTTACTATAACAAAAAAGTTAAATGTGACTGTTTCTGAGAGTTTTTTACTGTAACAAAACTTAAATTTTAAACTTGAATCGGTGAAATGAACGAGATCAAAAATTGCTTTGCGCCACACCTGGCAACAGATGACAAGAGATGGGTGACAAGGACAACAATCTTCCGGTCATACCATGCAAATCCCCACGTACAAGAATGACGAGGACGTTTGTTTTATGAATTTAGAATCATAATTTAGAACTATTTTCGGTTTACGTGTGTTTTTTGTGAGAAAAAATATTATAACGAGTCACGAATTATGATTTGAACCATGATATGAACCTTTACTCTACGAATCATGGCACAGATTCTTACTCCACGAACCATGACACAGATTCTTGCTCTACGAACTATCTCTCTCTGTCTCTGGTGCCAAGTTGGTGCGGCCCCAATACCCACTTTAAGACAGTTAAATCGAAAAGGAAGCGCAAATAAAGCAACTGAAGCCTGTTATTCTCTCCACCACGAACCCCTTACTTTTTACCTTTATGCTTTCATGTTAGCCAATTTCGGCAATTTTGGACGTTGACACGTGGCACTTCGTCGCTTTTTTGTACAGTACAGACCAGCTATTGCAGATCTCTGGGCACAAAGAGGTTGTTTTATTTAGTGCTTTTAATCCAACTAGCTATTCAGCTATAAAAGGTAGCAAAAAAAGAGCTAGTTCAATGTTGCTTTATTTCTCTTTGATTTCTTTTTTGGGTGAGTTATTTGATTTCTTAGAAGGAAAAAAGAAAAATAAAAAGTGCTTTGTAATTCCATGCAGTTTGGATGTGGGGATAATTCATCGAATTAGAGTATTCAATAATTGAATTTTCTTTTGATGTCTAGTTAAATATCAGCAGCATAGACCATAGTGTCCTTTTTGTTTGTGGATCAATTTAAAGCAACATGGTGTCATATGGTTTCCGTTGCTGCTCGCTTACCTCCCAATCCACCTATTATTGTATTCCCAATAAAGGCAATGCATGCACTAAAGTTTCATATATATTTTGCAGTTATCATTTTTGTCTATAACTATGTTTAGAAACATCATATTGTATTATATTTAATTTTCTTGACTTTTCAGTTTAATATGATTTTAATCAATATAATGTTGAGAAACATGTATATAAAAAAAAAATTTCGCTTTAATTCTGTGCTATGAACTTGTAAAAATTCAGGAGTGGAAGTGACATGAAAAAAAAAAGACCAACCATAGGGGAAAAAAACTTCAGAAAGATAAGAGTGCGTTTGATAGAGGGATTCGTTCCATGATTTGAATCATGATTCGTGGTTCGTTACAGTATTTTCTCTCATAAAAAATACACGTAAATCAAAAATAATTCGAATCACATGGTTTAAATCTTCCAACTAAACGATGGGGCTTACAATTAGTGGGACAATTAGTGGGACAGGAAGCCTGGGATTCTGCAGTCTTTACTATGGCCCCGTTCATTTCGTTGATTCGAGTTTAGAATTCGAGTTTTGCTACAGTAAAAAGCTCTCACAAACAATCACATCTAACTTTTTAACTTGTAAAAATTCAGGAGTGGAAGTGACATGAAAAAAAAAAGACCAACCATAGGGGAAAAAAACTTCAGAAAGATAAGAGTGCGTTTGATAGAGGGATTCGTTCCATGATTTGAATCATGATTCGTGGTTCGTTACAGTATTTTCTCTCATAAAAAATACACGTAAATCAAAAATAATTCGAATCACATGGTTTAAATCTTCCAACTAAACGATGGGGCTTACAATTAGTGGGACAGGAAGCCTGGGATTCTGCAGTCTTTACTATACTATACTCCACCGGGAAAAAAAAAATATATAACCATAATCATTCAATAATCTACATTATATTATATCATTTGATTAATCCACCCAAATATTTTATCTTATTTTTATTTTTTTCGTTTGACCAGTGCAATCTGTCTTCTTCCGAGAAAGATTTTAAAAATTAGCCGTTAAATAAAGTACTCAATTTCTGATCCCCAAAAATCACATAAATAATAATCCCTTTATTTTCAGCCAAAATTAAAAGGAATCTTCTCATAGATGTTAAGTTTTTTAATATGTTAAATTTATATAAAAACACATAAAAATTAAAATATATATTAATTTAACGGTAGAAAAACTCAAACACGCTGGCATATTAAAAAATCTCTCAAATTAAAAAAACCAGAAGACAGTCTCGAAGCGACACCGTCTTACTATTCTTGAACCTTCTCCCAACAATTCCTCTTCTTTTGTCCCGACACCTGACTCTCTCTCTCTCTCTCTCTTCCTAAAACCTTCAAATTCTCTCTCTAGAAGAACCAGTCAGAGAGAGAGAGATCAAATGCCCAATTAGAAAGAATCCGACCCATCGGAGCCGCAGAGATGGGTTGCACGCAATCCAAGATCGAGAACGAGGAGGCGGTGGCACGATGCAAGGACCGGAAGCACTTCATGAAGGAGGCGGTGTCGGCCCGCAACGCTTTCGCGGCAGCCCACTCCTCCTACGCCATGTACCTCAAGAACACCGGCGCCGCCCTCAGCGACTACGCCCAGGGCGAGGTCCAGAACCCCCAGCTGGCCCACCAGGCCCAGCCCAACTCCTCCTCCTCCTCCTCCTCCTCCACCGTGGCCCAGGCGGCCCAATTCGTCGAGACCCTCCCTCCGCCGCCGCCTCCTCCCTCCAATTTCGCCCCTCCGGCCCCCCTCCAGCGTGCCGCCACCATGCCGGATATCAAGATTCCCATGCCCGATCCTCCGCCCAGGCCCAAGCCTATCATGGAGGAGGACGAGGACGAGGATGAGATCGACAACGAAGGGTCCGTGAATTTGAGGAGGCGGAGAAGTAGCAGAAGCGGTAGCAGAGGAGGGCATCGGGAGGTTGTGGAAGAGGTGCCGGAGAGTAATCGGGCCCCACCGCCGGAGAATCGGACGATCCAGCCGAGTTATCAGCAGGACAATTACAGCTACGATTATTTCTTCAATGTCGATACCATGCCGAGGCCGACTTTGAGTGAGGTGGAAGAGGATAATATCAGTAAAGAGGAGATTGATCGCAACATATTCGACGAAAGGCCTAAGAGAGTGGACGACGAGGAGGAAGTAGTAGTGAAGAGTAGTGCTAAGGTTGAGGTGGAGCCCGTCCCCGAGAAGTCGGTGGAGGCTCCGCCGCCGCCTCCGGATCCTGCTGCTGCTGCTGCCGCCGCGGCTGCAGTGGCGGCGAAGAGTCTGAAGAAGGCAAAGCAGGCGGGGCCTGGTGCCACGGAGGGGAAGAGAGTGGTTAAGGCAAATGTTAATTTATTGCAGATATTTGTTGAGCTGGATGATCATTTTCTCAAGGCTTCGGAGAGTGCCCATGAGGTTTCCAAGATGCTTGAGGCCACCCGGCTGCATTATCACTCGAATTTCGCTGATAATCGAGGTAACGGCATTGATTTTTCTCATTCTTTCTTTATTTCAGTTGGTTTGAAAATGGAAAAAAAAAAATTAAATAAAAAAAGTTTAAACTTGGTACAAAGATTTGATTTTGGTTGTGGTTAATCGTTGACATGAATTGTTATCAGGGAAAATTCATAATGAGTATGATTAATTTAAATTGTAAAACCTGTTTTACATTACTGGTTATCTGCTGATCGAACTGTTTTTCTTTTGTTAGTAGCTGAAAAATCTCTTGACTGTTTCTTACAGGGCATATCGATCACTCTGCTAGAGTAATGCGTGTTATCACATGGAATAGGTCATTTAGAGGCTTAGCTAATAATGATGATTTAAACGATGACTTCAATTCGGAAGAGCAAGAAACGCATGCTACAGTTTTGGATAAGTTGCTAGCATGGGAGAAAAAGCTCTACGATGAAGTTAAGGTACAATTCAGGATTTTCTTTTTTTCCTCTTATGATGCCTTCCTGATCAAATTGCTAAATTTTATATGTCAAAATTTCTTCCTTCCGTGTCACATACGCGAATTTGGTGAAGTTGTTATCAGCTTTGCACTGTCCCACCCCATATTAGTTAACATATTGCTAACTTGGTTTTTTGAGGACTGCTTTATAAATGTTAATTAGGTCCCTTTTTTTCGATAAAGCACTAAAGTACAATCTTTTCTGTCACTCAACATGTTGCTTCCCTCTATCGTTAGATACAATATGTGTATTAGAAGTTAGTTCAGGCATCTAATGCTTCGTATTACAACTTTCCTGGGCTAACTATTGCTGGATAGGCAGGTGAGCTGATGAAATTTGAGTACCAAAGGAAGGTTAACGCACTGAACAGGCTAAAGAAACGGGGTACGAATTCTGATGCGCTGGAGAAAGCGAAAGCAGCGGTAAGTCATCTGCACACGAGATACATTGTGGACATGCAATCCATGGATTCAACTGTTTCAGAGATCAACCGTCTACGGGACGAGCAGTTATACCCAAAACTTGTTCAGCTTGTTGATGGGTGAGTGTTCATTCTAGAGTTATAGGATAAATCATAAATTTTATTGGAAGAAGGCTTTTCTCTTACATTATTTACTCCATAATGTTGCTTCATTTTGGCTACTTTACTGATTCCTAGTAGTGCTACCTTTTATTATGTTGACCGGTAAAGGTTTCCTGTTAATAGAGTACCACGAAAAACATCTTTTGTCTTGTGCTTCTGACCAATTTCCACACATGGAAAGGATTTTTGTTTTGCGGTTTCTTTCTTTTTTTTTTTTTTCCTTTTCCTTTTTCATTTTAATCTATCACTGCTTGGAAGATAGTGTCCCTCTTGTCCCAGTACAGAGATATTAGTTCCATGTTAGAATTATGAAGATGATTTATGTTATCTCCTTCATGTTCGTACTTAAAAGAATCTTGGAGGTCAATAATGGAAAAAAAAAAAAAAAAGGTCCAAATAAATAAGTAATCCAACCATCATCTGTATGTTGCTGAAATCATTCCCTATTTTTCTGGGAACTTGCAGGATGGCGACTATGTGGGAAACCATGCAATATCACCATGAGAATCAATCTAAGATTGTGCAAAAGCTCAGATATCTTGACATCTCACAATCCCCCAAGGAAACAAGTGAGCACCACCATGAGCGCACAGTGCAGCTGTATGCTGTCGTGAATGAGTGGCATTTACAGTTTGAGAAGCTTGTATTTAAGCAAAAAGACTATATGAAAGCCCTAACTACCTGGTTAAAACTTAATCTCATTCCCACTGAGAGCAGCTTGAAGGAGAAAGTTTCATCTCCGCCAAGGCAACAAACGCCCCCGATACAGAAACTCCTCATGGCGTGGCAGGAACATCTGGAGAAGCTACCCGATGAGCTGGCAAGAAGTGCCATCTTCAACTTTGCTGCTGTTATAGATACTATAGTGCATCAACAAGTTGAAGAGATGAGATTGAGAGAAAAATGCAAGGATACGGAGAAGGAGCTCTCTCGAAAAAAACGGCAATTTGAAGACTGGTATCGTAAATATATGGAGCGGCAAATACCCAATGAAGGGGAGCCTGCAGAAGATACCACTAGCAACAATGGTCTTGCCGAAAGGCAGTTCATGGTGGATTCACTGGAAAAGAGACTTGAAGAGGAGCAGGAAGACTATCAGAGACATTGCCTTCACGTGAGGGAGAAGTCATTAGCTAGTGTCAAAACTCGCCTGCCGGAGCTTTTCAGGGCATTGTCTGATTTTGCAGTTGCCTGTTCGGAAATGTACAGGGACTTGAGGTCCAGATCACCACCCCAGAATCACCACGAGAGTTCTGCATAATAGTTTATACAATTTGGTCAGTTGTATCTTTTGTACCTTTTACTTGTTTTCCCCGCATTATAGTTTATTTGTATGTGGTATATTACCTTTTTCGGGGGCTAAGAATGTGGTTTAGTACTTGTTCTCTCGTGCAATTCTTGTATGGGACCAATTCCTGAAAATGATATGTAAGTTGTGTTCAATAGTTTTGATTGCCAAATAAACTGTTTATAGTTATTTTATTGAAAGAGGACGGAGTCACATATTGTACGAATTCCATCTAGATTTCTTGTTGTATGCTCCGGTTTTCTACTTTGTATTGAATAATTCAACGTTGCACTATCTAAATGGAACTTTACTCACTGAGTTTGGGATTAATTGTCGTGCTTTTGAAAATTGCTTTTATTCCCTTGATCATAATCCAAAAGCCGCTTCTTACTAGCTAAAGCGCATTGATATTTGTAAAACTTGCTATTGGTTTTGTGACAACCACTTTAGATTATTTTTGATTGACGCGTTTAGACTATTATGAAATAAAATTATACTAACAGAATTTTGAAAATAAATACACGAATAAATAAATAAATGGAACTTTATTAAGCAAGAAAACAGCCGAACAACCAATATCACACACGTCCAGAACCCCTTTTTTTTTTTTTTTTTTTTTTTTTTTTTACGTTGAATAGGATTTTCACAACTCACTGACAAGAGCTCCTCTGTCTTTTTCAGCAAAAAAAAAAAAAAGAAAAAAAAAAAAGAGCTCCTTTGCGACATCATGGGTCAAACTCTTCAAATCACAAGGGACTCTAAGAAGTTCAGCTGCTAAAATAGCATCTTCAACAATAAAAACAAACTCCCAAAGAGAACAATCTTATGTAAAGCATTTATATCGAAAAGGCAATTTGTTTCACATATCACTATATTCCAATCCAACCCTCAAGGTAAGTTAAAACAACTTTGTGCAAAATCCAAAAGCACCTCTGTGGAATCAATCTGAAACCGAAACTATATATTTAATCAGGCATGATAGAATTATATATGGAGTATCACTAAAATCATATCCTATCATTATATTTATATATGTATTTGCTTGAGAAGTGCAGGGTTAGAAGGTACTTTTCTTGTTCAAAATCACATAAAGTTTATTTGTTTAAAAAAAAATAAAAGGAGGATTCTATAAAGTTGGTCTAGAACTTGGGAAAATAGTAGTTGTTTGAGCTTGTTATAGCGTTTTCACAGGAAATTCTTCTCTCAAACGACGGTCCTAAACTCTTCATTTTGTGGACCATTCTAAATTTTCATGAACTATTTTATTTTGAAAAATTAAGAACCATTCTAAATTTTCATGAACTATTTTATTTTGGTAAATTAAGCATTCATTTACACTTAAACTGAAAAAAAAAAAAAAAAAAACAAGAAAAATCTCGTATAGAACTTTCAATAGAACATTTGGTTTAAGTCGTTTGGCGGTCATGTTAACCTAAGCAGCAAGATAGTTTTCTTCGGTCTCGAACTTCATTGTTTAGATTCATTCCTGTAGGCTTTGAGGGGAAAGCTTTTGCAAGTCTCTTTGCTGCACAACACAGATAATGTTTCAGGTTAAAGAAAACAAAAGAAAAGAAAACCAAATGTTTCACATAAATTTCGCGTAATGCTTTTTAATTCATGGCTTGGAACGTACAAAAAGGTCACCTATTTCATAGAAGAGCTCGTTAATGTTTTCTGCAGTTTTTGCTGATGTTTCAATATAAAACATCCCATTCTCTTGTGCAAATTGTTCTCCTTCCTGTAACCAATTATTCACAAAAGAACTAAATTTTTTAGCATGTTGATAAATTTTGTTTGAGAATGTAACAGATTGTTTATCATATAGTCAGCTTCTAATGACAGCATTTTCTATGTTTAGAAAGAGAAGGAATCACAAGTTCTCCTAACGTGATTAGTGAGGAATGAAAATGAAGCAAGAGGAAAGATACTGCAAATAAGTACCTCTGTCTCAACCTCTCTCTTGGGCTCCAAGTCACACTTGTTTGCAACCAATGCCATCACCAAGTTTGAGTTCCCTACAAAATTTTACATGAAATTGAAACGGCTACATAACCGTCCCGAGACAAATGAAACTTATCCGAAGAAAATCTAACACTATACATTTCTATTTGATGTACAACTAGAGTTAGTAAAAAATTCTTGTTCAGAAAAATTGTGTTTGATTGTTCTGGTTTGGCCTGACCTTGTCGTTGGAGTTCTTCAACCCATTTTTTGGCTCGAGTGAATGTGTCCTGAAGTCATAACACCACTTATAGATTAACAATTATATCCAAAGATTATTAAATTTAGCATAGTATGCGTCAAAGTAAGAGTTCATTCTGAATCCAATAGTAGTACTAACTACTAACCAAAATGTATTTAAGCACAAAATTAAGAAGCTTGAAAAGGTGCCATTCTGCGGTTGCAAGTCTATCACAGCAGTAAATCAGTACCTAACTCTATTCAAAGATTCAAAAATAATAATAAAGAAAAATGTACCATCTTTGAAATGTCGTATACAACCACGGCCGCTGCTGCACCACGGTAGTACATAGGAGCCAAGCTATGGTATCTTTCTTGGCCTGCTGTGTCCCATATGTCGAACTTCACCGTCGCTTCTGTTAACGACAGTATTTGAGTGAAGAAGGCTGCTCCTATGGTTGGTTCCTAACATATACATGTATAAACTAACTATCAGGGTCAATTCTGAAACACTAATGTATGTTTAAGGGGAAAAAAAAAAACAGTTACTTTGTTTGAAAAAACTGAGAGAATATGTGATAGCATTAACCTGATGATCCAAGAACTGGCCTTTGACAAATCTTAGTACTAGACTGGTTTTCCCAGTACCCATGTCCCCAAGAAGCACCTGCACAAGAAAACATATATATTCATAAAGTTATATTTGAACCTTATTAAATGAGCAAATTTTAGGTTTTGTAAAATACTGATGATGTTAAACAAAGAAAAAAAAATCAGAACATAGAGAGTTTTTCGAAAAACAAGTGACATAATAGTGTGTGAAGTTTATGAATTATTATAGATAAATGCTAATACTAAATATTACTTGTGAAAAGAATTCTTGCACAAAACTTTCAATTTTCTTGTTTTATTGCCTTGAAGTTCTGTGCCTACAATTTAACCATCATGGAATTGAACATAAGAAAAGGTTAGACATACCCACCATTTTGGCTTGTATGATCTTGTTTCCAGGCCTTGCCATGAAAGCTCCAACAACAACTTGCAAATGTAGAACTAAGGAAGTAAAGGATAAAGTCTAGAAAAATATTGTACAAGTCTATTTGCATTTAAATGAAAATGATCTGTGTAGATGAAACTAGAAAGAAGAGGGCAAAGGGACTGGATCCAACTAGGACCGGTAGTTTTGTAACGTTTGTTGACTGGTAGTTCTGTTGCATATATTCCTCTAAGGCATGTACGGTTTTTTTTTTTTTTGGAGCAATTAAGGTACACACATATCTTCTTTCTACTCAATTATCATTGCTTTAGTACTTGTCTAATAAATTAAAAAAAAAGTGTAACCAAATAGAGTTTGAGGTTGTTAGAAAATTTCATAGAAAATAATTAGTAAAAATATAAATTATAAATTGTATTTCAAGAATAACAAATCTCCAAAGTCTCTCCACATTGTTCAATAAAAACTTAATAAATCCATAAAAAGAAAAGAATCCCCAGATTGTAATAGTAGTACTAGCAGGTTAGGATTTTGCTTTCATTGTTTGGCTACATGCTCTAGAAGCACATGCAGTTTATTTGTTATTTTTTTCTTTTTATTTTTAGTATAATATATCCATAAATACACGCAACATTTTGATGACACACAAAGAAAGTAACAAAGCCATGTTATGGATAATAAAATCGATGCTTTGAGTTTGATAATACAATTACATCAAATTGATAAATCATGTCTATTTCATATGATTGAATTATGACCCACAAAGAAGAGCGTTTCATACAAGAAATAATTTGTTATGATTCCGTAATGGCTTATGAGTTCTAACAATACCAAATCATAAGCTTTCTGATATTTTTAAGCAATTAATCACTGCCTTTGTCTTGATAACCTTTCCTTATCCGTAAAGTCGTATTGAAGCTCATTTATCTCTATTATATAATTCTTCAAAGCCGATAATCAAGCAAAAACGATTTTGTAAGATAAGAACTAACATGCTTCCGCAAGAAGAAACTATATGGTGTGTTTATAATAGGGTTAATCTCAATAATAGCACTTATGAATAAATGATTATTAATTTTAGTATCACTTTTATATATTTTCATAACTAGCATTGTCATGGCACCTCAAAAAAACTCTCAACTCTCTCCCACTCATTTTCTCTCTCTCTCTCCCACTCACTCTCTCTCTCTCTCTCTCTCTCTCTCTCTCTCTCTCTCTCTCAAGTTTAGCCTCTCTCTCTTCCCTACGCCCTCATTCCTTCATTGTCAATACTCCGGTTGTGCACAGATCGAGATTGGTACACAATTTTTTTTTTGTTTTTCTTTTATTTTTGTCTTTTTAAAGTTATTTTTTAGGAGACTTAGTATATAGAACTCAATAATAGCACTTATGAATAAATGATTATTAATTTTAGTATCACTTTTATATATTTTCACAACTAGCATTGTCATGGCACCTCAAAAAAACTCTCAACTCTCTCCCACTCATACGTCAAAGACATAGTTGACATTGGGAGTCATAATATTATGACTCATAGTGTTATATATCCAGTCATAATACTATGACCAGTCAGTCGTAACAGTATGAGTCATTGTCTATAAGTCAAATTATAACAATATGAGTCAAAATGGCCAATCATAGTATTATGACCGTAAGTCAGTCATAGTGTGATTATAATATTATGACTGAAATGACCCATAGTGTTATGGCTGGTACACTATGACTGCCTTATGACCGGCCATTACACAGTGTTATGACTGGCCATTTCTAATGACTCGATGACGACTAGGAATAATTACATGTTGGTTAACAGTTATTATTTTTGAAATTATTTAGGAATGACTGCTGGATTGAACGTCTTCATCAAGTATAATGGATATTGGGACCGTGCTTCGAGATACGTCGGTTGTGAAATGAAGGAGATATTGGTCCTCACCAACACAACTTATAAAAAATAAACAAAGCAAACAAAGTTGTTAACCAAAGTACTATGACTAGCACACTAAGAGTTTGACCATTGAGTGGTCATAGTACTATGATCGAAGGTCATAATTCTATGACCGCCCATCATGCAGGCTCACTCATAGTGTTATGACTTATGGCCACCCATAAAAAAAAGTACTATGACTGGCACACTAAGAGTCTGATAATTGTGCGGTCACATTACTATGACCTAGGGTCATAATTCTATGACTGCAAGACAGTCGCACTATGAGCCTGACAATTGTGCGGTCACATTACTATGACCGAGGGTCTTAATACTATGACCGCAAGGCAGTCACACTATGAGCCTGACAATTGTGCTGTCACATTACTATGACCGATGGTCATAATGCTATGATCGTAGGCTCATCAGTCAGACAATCGCGCTATGCACCTGCTTGCCTAATGGACGGTCATAGTAATTATGACCGTTGGTCATATTACTATGACCGCACAATGTGCCTGTCTTATGACCGGTCATAATAAAATTACCAAGCGGTCATAATAATATGATCGGCCATCAGGCAGAATTACAAACCAAATAAGGAGCGCAATGAGAATCTAATGACCCCAAAAATTTCAAATAACTAACCTTATCTGCTTTTATCTCCTCCTCCAAAGCTTTTCTTTTCTTCTAAGATGACAGAAAATGGTAAAAGAAAAAACAACAATAAATACGTAAGAAAAAAAAATAAACAATAAAAGTCAACAAAGTTTTTACTTTTGTCTCGGAATCCGCCATTGACCTCATCTGTTTCATGGCTGATTTCTCCAACGAAGATGGAGAGGGGAGGTTGCTTTGGTTCGTTCTTCTCCGACGAAAAGGTTTAGGCGTTGATTTCTCCGGTGAAGGTTTGTCGGTTCTCGTCACGTGATTGCGTGGGTTCTCATTGTCGTGGGTTTTCGTTGTCGTGGGTTCGTTGGTGCTCAAGGTGGTAGACGATGGTAGACGGTGGTGGACGGTGGTGGTCGTTGGGGTTTCTTGGTCTCTGTACACACCCACGTTCGTTCTCCTCCTCCTCTCTCTACTTTTAATATTTGAATTATAAAAGCCTTCATAATATATATATTCAAAGCTTTAAAACTAAAATGGGGCACAATTATCATTTTAATTCAAGTAAAAACGGTATGGTTCTACTTTTGCTGATATGGCGATGCTAATTATAAAAGTAAACAAAAAGTATGAGTCATTGTCTATAAGTCAAATTATAACAATATGAGTCAAAATGGTCAATCATAGTATTATGACCGTAAGTCAGTCATAGTGCGATTATAATATTATGACTGAAATGACCCATAGTGTTATGGCTGGTACACTATGATTGCCTTATGACCGGCCATTACACAGTGTTATGACTGGCCATTTCTAATGACTCGATGACGACTAGGAATAATTACATGTTGGTTAACAGTTATTATTTTTGAAATTATTTAGGAATGACTGCTGGATTGAACGTCTTCATCAAGTATAATGGATATTGGGACCGTGCTTCGAGATACGTCGGTTGTGAAATGAAGGAGATATTGGTCCTCACCAATACAACTTATAAAAAATAAAAAAAGTAAACAAAGTTGTTAACCAAAGTACTATGACTAGCACACTAAGAGTCTGACCATTGAGTGGTCATAGTACTATGATCGAAGGTCATAATTATATGACCGCCCCTCATGCAGGCTCACTCATAGTGTTATGACTTATGGCCACCCATAAAAAAAAGTACTATGACTGGCACACTAAGAGTCCGATAATTGTGCGGTCACATTACTATGACCTAGGGTCATAATTCTATGACTGCAAGGCAGTCGCACTATGAGCCTGACAATTGTGCGGTCACATTACTATGACCGAGGGTCATAATACTATGACCGCAAGGCAGTCGCACTATGAGCCTGACAATTGTGCTGTCACATTACTATGACCGATGGTCATAATGCTATGAACGCTGGCTCATCAGTCAGACAATCGCGCTATGCGCCTGCTTGCCTAATGGACGGTCATAGTAATTATGACCGTTGGTCATATTACTATGACCGCACGATGTGCCTGTCTTATGACCGGTCATAATAAAATTACCAAGCGGTCATAATAATATGATCGGCCATCAGGCAGAATTACAAACCAAATAAGGAGCGCAATGAGAATCTAATGACCCCAAAAATTTCAAATAACTAACCTTATATGCTTTTATCTCCTCCTCCAAAGCTTTTCTTTTCTTCTAAGATGACAGAAAATAGTAAAAGAAAAAACAACAATAAATACGTAAGAAAAAAAAATAAACAAGAAAAGTCAACAAAGTTTTTACTTTTGTCTCGGAATCTGCCATTGACCTCATCTGTTTCATGGCTGATTTCTCCAGTGAAGATGGAGAAGGGAGGTTGCTTCGGTTCGTTCTTCTCCGACGAAGAGGTTTAGGCGTTGATTTCTCCGGTGAAGGTTTGTTGGTTCTCGTCGCGTGATTACGGGGGTTCTCATTGTCGTGGGTTTTCGCTGTCGTGGGTTCGTCGGTGTTCAAGGTGGTAGACGATGGTAGACGGTGGTGGACGGTGGTGGTCGTTGGGGTTTCTTGGTCTCTGTACACACCCACGTTCGTTCTCCTCCTCCTCTCTCTACTTTTAATATTTGAATTATAAAAGCCTTCATAATATATATATTCAAAGCTTTAAAACTAAAATGGGGCACAATTATCATTTTAATTCAAGTAAAAACGGTATGGTTCTACTTTTACTGATATGGCGATGCTAATTGTAAAAGTAAACAAAAGTGGTACTAAAATTAATAATCATTTACTCAAAAATGCTATTATTGAAATTAATTATAAAGTCCTTTGGCTAGTTGTGAAGATTCTAGTCTTAGAACATTGTTTTCAACGTTTGTAGTTACATTGGAAAGCCTCAACTATTTGTTTTGTTCCCGATCATTGTCCATTTTTATAACATGCCATGTTTATAGAAATGTACCAATTAGCAAAGTGGATTTGTGTTCCTCAAAATTACCAACTCGTTAATTTGAACCAATTTGTAATGTTTAGAGCAATTAAATTACTTCTTGTCCACAAAACGAAAAATAACAATATTCATGACTCAAAAAGAAGTAAAGGAAAAGCAAAACAACAATTTCCTATTATTACATCTCACCAAAGACCAAAAGTGTACCCCACAACAATTTCCCAGCTCCCAAACGAAAACCCAAAAAGGGTATCCAAACAAATGCCTCTTTTCTTTTTCTATTTTTCTTTTCTTAATACCCCTGAAAACTATTTTAAAAAGGCAAACAAAAATAGAAAAGTAAGAGGAGTATTTAGAATCATAATTTAAAATTATTTTTATTTTATATATATTTTTTATAGAAATAATACTATATAAAATTATAAATCATAATTCAAAATGAATATAAAAAAATAAACGTCTTCTAAATCACTCTACTAATAAAATAATAAATAATTTACCACGGCAAAACAAGCATCTAATCATATTTTTGGTATTTCCGAAAATACCCTCGAATCCAATAATCAACATTTACAGAGACGCAACTTCCTCCTACGTTAACTGAGCAGTGACGGGAAAGTAGACAACAATTGGCAATGCCAATTCCAATGGCTTCCTCCTCCAAGTCCAAGACGGAGCCCCTCAATCACACTCCTTTGCCTCCCGATCAAAACTACGTCGTATTGCCACTCTATTTCCCCCGCCACCGCCTGCGCCGCTGCGCGATCTCCGCCGTCGGTGTCGCCCTGCTTATCACCGCCGCATACGCCTTCTGGCCGTCCGATCCGGACATCAAGGTCGTGCGGATGCGCCTCAAGAGCGTCCGGGTCCACAGGACGCCCCACGTGGCGGTCGACGTGTCGGTGTCGCTGACGGTGCGGGTCCGGAACGACGACGTTTACTCCATGGACTACAGCGCGCTCGACGTGGCGGTGGGATACAGGGGGAAGTGGATGGGTCACGTGAGGTCCGACGGAGGTCACGTGAGGGCCCGAGGGTCGTCCTACGTGGACGCTGAGCTGGACCTCGACGGGATCGAGATCTTCTCCGACGTCGTTTTCCTGCTCGAGGACTTGGCGAAGGGTACAGTTCGCTTTGATACTGTTACGGCGGTTAAAGGCCAGCTCGGCCTTCTATTCCTCCACTTCCCTTTGCAGGTATAAAAATATAAATATAATATGAGGAATCTAAACTTTTTATTATTATATTATTTTTCTAGTGATCTTTATTTTTTATTTTTATTATTTTTTTAGAGCTTTCTTTAAAAAAGTATTTGTCAAAATATTTATGTTCACTTCTTCAAATGATTATAATATGAGGAATCTAAACTTTTTATTATTATATTATTTTTCTAGTGATCTTTATTTTTTATTTTTATTATTTTTTTAGAGCTTTCTTTAAAAAAGTATTTGTCAAAATATTTATGTTCACTTCTTCAAATGATGATTTTTTTTTTTTTTAAGTTAATGCCTTGTGTTCCCTAAATGCTTCAAGTGGTTGGATCAAGAGTCAAATAGGTAGATGAGTAGATAGCTATAGTTATGTGATTATTGATTAAATTATCCCAAAATGCTGAATTTTTACGTTAATTAATACTCATGCTTCCAATTATGCTCAATTACTCATGTATTATTGACAGGCAAAAGTATCATGTGAGGTCTCCATCGATACAATTAATCAGACAATTTTTCGTCAAAATTGTTCTCCTGTGGTTAGCAGCTCCTACTTATACTCTTCTACTTTGAGTCTCATTTCATCAGAGTCATCTTATGATCTAACATTATATAAATTTGATAGTATGTGTTTAAAAAAAAAAAAAAAAAAAAAAAAAAAAAAACATGATAGAATCTGGTAAAGAAATGACGATTTAGAAATGCCCGTTACTAAAATAGTATTGTTTTATCCAACTGCACCTTACAAAACAGCTAAAATCTGAAAGTGTAACCAACAAAATATGCTAATTGCCATGTGACACCCTACATTTGGTCTACGGTAGGTTTTTAAAAAAAAAAAAAAAAAAAAAAAAAAACCTTGGTCGATGATAGATTGGTCAAAGTGTGTCTGTTCTGTTGATTTAAAAGCAAGTATTATGTTGTAGGAAAAAGAAAAAGAACTGAATTTGGGTCTCTAATTTGTGATTTCACTGCCAGTGATTGGTTCGAGTACAATGCCAAGGTACGGTAGAGCTAAAAGGGTCCAAGAAGTGCAAGCTTCTCCTAGTTGTGAACTTTCAAAATGCATTCTGAGCTTGGAATTGGAAACATGCCTGTCATCAATTAAGATTGCAATTTGCATGTCTTTCTTCTGTTTAGATGTGTGATGTTATTGTAATACTGGGGAGGAGAGTGATTTAGGTGTAATATATATGTTTGTCATAAGCCTATATATATATATATATATATAGCTCTGTAAATGATCCTTCGAAAGTAAATATGTGCTCTCGAAATGCCTGAGGCAAGCTCTTCATTGAAGGATAATTCCTGCACTGAACATTCTTCTGGGCGTTGTGGAAGTTGGATTTTATGGAGGAAAAAAATTTGAAGGAAAAAGGAAAAAATATATAAATGAGGGGGGAAAATAAAAATTTTTCACTTTGTTTGGAACGTTAAGAAAACTAATAGGAAAAAAAAAAAGGTTAAAATTTACTCAAAATTTTCATTAAACCAATGGGTAATCTTAACAAATGTTCTTTAAAAGTGCATGACTCTGGATTTTTACTCTTTACTCTTGATCCATAACCTTTTTAGTCAAATAATTACAATATTTATCAATAATAAGTGGTAAAAGTTCAGACTCATGCACTCTTAAAGGTAAATTCTGTGATTTTCTCAAAGAGAATAATTCATGTACTAAACATCCTTTTAGGCCCTGCTTGGAAGTTGGATTTAATGGAGGAAAAAAATTTGAAGGAAACAGGAAAAAAATAAAGAAAGTGTAGAAAATAAAATTTTCACTTTGTTTGCAACCTAAAGAAAATTTATAGAAAGTCAAAATTCATTGAATTTATTGTGTTTAATTTTCTATTGACCTTGTTTGCTGGCTTTTAGGATTGTTCGTTTTGCCCTCCATAGGTCGTTTATCTCTGAATTAGAAACGATATCTTTCACTCCAACATCGATTTCTATAAAAGCGAGATGTTGTTTAAGTACGACATAAAAAGCTTGCTTGTATTGAAGATGATTTCCAAAGTTAAGATTTAAGACGGCCGATCAGAAGGGCGTGAGGGAAAAGAAAGTCGTTTCCTTTCCATATGAAGAAAACTGCGCATCGTTTTTTCAAGTGAAACGACATCTTGTTCTTCCAAGTAAAAAGGGCATGTCCTCGAAGAAACGACATGCGGTTCTTTCATGTGACTTTATATTCTTTACGACATGTTTAATTAGTATGACTGTGTGCATAACCAAAAATAAAAAATAATAAAAAAATAGTGTGACTGTGTGAGTGATGAATGGGAGTGAAGTGAGAGTCAATTTCCATTTTCTTATTCATTTTAATCTTGAAACGAAATTGTGATTAAGTTGGCCTCATAAAAATTTAGCGTTGCAGAAAAAGATTAATAATCTCTCATGTTTCCATCAGATTGTGACTCTAAATCCTAAAATTATACTAAATTACATTTTCGTACCTTTATTTTACTACAAAATTTTGAATGAAAAAGAAAAATACAATATCCTAGACTTCTACCGAATTCTAGGTATTGAAAGCAATTCACCAACTAATAACAATTTTAAAAAATATATATTATTATTATTTATAATTTTTTGTTGTATTAAAAGAATTTATTTCATTTTTTAGAAAACTGTTTATTTCAATTTTCGATACTACTCTTATTTATTCAAATATAATTACAAACTATATTTAATACTTTATTATCTTAATATTTGTTAAGGTCAGATTTCATATCTCATCTCTCATCGTACACGTGGCAATTCAGGCTGCGGAAGGTCACTAAACGAGTCACCGCGACTCCTCGAGCAGGCTAAAGCGACTCATCGACTGGTCAAGCCCATTGGTCGACCTCACGAGTTGACGAACAACCTTAGGTATCAAGTCACGAGAGAATGTCCTCAAGACATTCCTTATAAGGAATTTGGCAACATAATCAACCGGAAAAGGAAAGAAATCCACTGCTCGAGTTAGAAGAATTAATGAGAAAAAGGTCCACAGTTGACTTAGGTTGCAAGCAACCCTCTCATTGAACGAAATTGATTGTCTTCCACATAAAGAAACTATATCTCCAGCAATCAGGTAATAAAGAGGCTAAATTAACTCAAAATGGGCAAGAAACTCTCATTGAACGAAATTGATTGTCTTCCACATAAAGAAACTATATCTCCGTAATAAAGAGGCTAAATTAACTCAAAATGGGCAAGAACCCATGATTGACCGGTCGATTATGGACAAAACCAGTTAAGAAAAATCACACGACGCCTAAGAAGGAAAGGAATATCACGAATTAAAGGCTATATCATGCAGAGAATCAAGAAACAACTCGTGGAGCCTCATCACTATAAATATAAGGCATTTGGACAGAATTCGGCATGCTTCCACGGTACACAAAACGTCTCACGCTCATTTTAAGAAGACTTTTCTATTTCTTACTGTATTTTCTAGCATATATTTTTCTCTCTCATCTCATTCTTCTCAAAACGACTCATTGTAACGCTTTTCAGCAATTATAGTGAAACCACTGGAGCCTTATAGTGGACATACCCTGCATTATTAGGGGAAACACTATCAATTCTTGTGTCTTTTTACTACTTTCATTTACTTTCATGTTTACTAACGCTTTCGTTTTCGCAGCGGATCAATTTCACTAATCGACGACTCATAACTCAGTCATTAACCATTTATTTATTCAATTGTAGATTTTACCCTAATAATCGTATTATTATATAACTAATTTATTTTAAAAAATTAAAAATACAAAATTTGTTTTGTATATGTAAATTACCACAATTCATCCTAAATATAAGCTTAAATAAATACATGAATAATATTAGTTATACTATCCAAATAAATTATAACTGATTCCGACCTAAATTCTCACTCTGAAACTTATACAATTACGTGCAAGCACGTCATTAATGTATTTAAATAAGCTCAAGACCATTATTATTCAAGAAAATGCTAACGAGTAGTCTCTTGACATTGAAAATGGTAGACAAAACGACAGGTCATTTATATATGAAAACGACATCTAAATCATTTCATTGTATGTAGTCATTCCATCAAGATAACAGAAACGACGTGTTTTTTCTGGAAATAAACAAAAGCGACATATCGCTTTCATTTATGTAGTTTACGTAGTCATGTAAGCGGCATGTCGTTTTACTTTATTTACTTTTGAAGTAGGCATGTCGTTTTTCAATTCAAGAAGCCGAAATTTTTAGAATTGAAAATTTATTTTGCTGCACAAATACCAAGACTTGCTTAGTATTAAATCATTTATTTTTTGACATTAAATAAAAATTTTTATATTGATATAGTTGATAGTCCATTAAAAATTTCTTTCTAAATTTAGAATTCAATAATTATTTAATAAAATTAATTTTTAATATTTATACTTGATTTAGTCCAGTCATGTGATGAAAGAGCTAGGCTTGTTCATGCCATTATCTATAAAAAGAATAATAATAGTTATAGAATCCGCTTATAAATTATGGTGAATAATTATAGCAATGTCTTAACACTCTGATTAACTGAAACGCATAAATAAATAAATAAAAGAATGAAATGAAATATTACTTACAGAAGAAAGCACTTATCTTGTACCAACTCCAATGGTGATTGTAGTAAGGGGTGATGGGCAAAACTACCCAAAAAGCTCCTCAAGTTTGGCCGTATTTATTAAATTCGCTTGTCGTTTATGTTAGAAGCTAGTCCAGCTCCAGCATTAAATTCCAGTTGTTGTCGTTATTTTACTTTGTGGAGAGGATGTCCAACTCCATCGTGTATAAAGCAGTAAAAAAAGGAAGGGGAAAAAAAAAGAAAAAAAAACATGTTTCCTCCTTTAAGGATTGGGTCCGTCTTCTACCAACCAAATTATTGTTTTGTGGAAGGAAATTTCAATACGAAAAAAAGGAAAAAAAACAGACGTTTGTTTTTCAAAAGAAACCGAAAATGTAAATCAGTAACACATAAATACCAAGTTTAGTTGGGAATATAACCCTTAAATTTTCTTTAATGTAGCTAAGAAATTTACACAACACATAAGAAACTTCTAAGTTTAAATTACTTTTCAAAACGTTTTTGTTATAGTTTTCTCTTATTAAATTAAAATTTTTGTTCAATTTTTTCTGTTTAAAACTATGAATCAAACGGATCACAAATTTATCCGTTCGTTTTGTTCATTCGAGTTAAGAACTTAAATTAAAAAATGAATTCATATCATAGAAAATACTGTAGTAAAAAAAGTTGAACTTAAACTTTTACAAGAGAAAATACTATAGTAAAAATTTAAATTGTGAGTCGAATTAGTGAAATAAATAGTGCACGTACTTAGCTCTAAGCTGGTTTATTCAACTAGGGGCTTCATTCTTTCCCCTTTTCCAAATTTGTTTAAACTACAAAAAGTAGACGGCATTTATATTGACGTAGAAAGAAAAAAAAATGAAAGAAAAGAAAAATACATTCCCTTTAAGTGCTGCCAGAGTGTGAACGTGGACTATAGTTATCAGCTATAAGAAAAAAAAGACAGACCAGTTTCAAGTTTCATACGCTAAAAACACCAATATGTCTTGCTTTTGTTGTGGCACAAACATCAGCAACTGTGTGAGAAGTGGCTATGAGAAGATTGTGCTCTGCACAGCATTGAAAGCCGGATCGAAAATGCCGGTGTGGAAGGTGTTGTGGACGAAGATAAAGAAGGAGAAGAGGAGGTTCTTTGATTCTTCATCTGATCCAGCTCATGTTCCTTATGATCCCTACACCTACTCTCAGAATTTTGATCAGGGCTCGGCTGCTGACCCCGAAAACCTGTCCCGGTCATTCTCCGCTCGGTTTGCCGTTCCGTTGAGGATTTTTGAGGAGAGTGGATTGGTGAGTTGATGGGAAATTGAGGAAATGGTGGCTTGTGAGTTAAGGTTCTGTTTTGTAGCTATGGTGTGAGATTGTTTGGTTAGGGGGTTAATATCACTATTTGTGTCTGTTTATCTTGATCTGCTTCCTCTCTTTCCCCTCAATATATGTAACTTCTTTTTCTTGAAGTTCAAGCAATTCTTTAGATTCAAGGAATATCTCTGATAAATCCTAACCATGGATAATGGTGATGGTGACGGTGATGGTGATGATGATGTTGATGATGATGAGAAATTCTAGTTCCAGAGAGAAGAGTATGTTGTTATTTCTTCTCGTGTAATAGCATTTGAGAATGCTTGTGAATATTAACTAATATGTACAATCTCTTTAGTTAATTTTTTTTTTTTCCTTTGCTTCTCATCTTTCATTGGCAAAATTGTGGTCAGGTTTCATACCTTTTTTTTTTTTTAATGGCTAGGCCAGAAAGAGGCAGAAGACCTTTGCTTCGCTTAAAGAAGGTTGTGTTCCCCTTTTAATGTCTAGTTATTCACTCGTACCATAGTTTTATATGTAAATTAAGGTTAACTTTTCTCTTAATGCCAATTCTATGAAAATTGTATTCCCCCAATTCAGGAGCCTAGAAAGCAGCACCTAGTTTTTTCAACAGCAAAAACTGAGATATAGAATGGTAAGTAGAAAAGTTAAGGGCTTGTTAATTGGATGCAATAATTTTGTTTTCAAAGTGTTAGTAAACTGGTCTAATCAGCTTCAATCTCCCCGTCTCCAAATTATGATTAATAAATGGTTTCAAAGATTGCTTCAAGCTAGAAAACAAACAGACAAGAACAAAAGCAAGGAAAAGAGACATAAAAACAAGCAAAACTAGTTAGTCGTTTTCTTCAGACCAGCAAATAGAAATGGAGTGAAAGTGAGCTTTGTTTCGAGAGGCAAAAAAGCTTGTCACGACGTGTTTCTTTTTCCTGAGGTTTGTGGCTTGTGGGGTTCACATTGTGCGTTACAATTCATATTTTCTCAACTGAATCTGGAACACAGGGACCTTTCTGCATATTAATTATTTCTGCGCTTCAGTTGGCCCCTTGGTAGGTCCATTCTTCAATGGCCATCTTCCCTGCCCTCTTTCACTCTTTAAGCAACACTTTTCTTTACCGGTTTTCAACAATAAAGTTCAGTATAATTAAAAGTCTATTTCCTTTTTACAGTCTAATTGGTAAATCTAAATCTGACTTTACTGTTACATCTGGAGCTTAAATCCTCCGTTCAATAAAAAAAATCACATACTTTTTCATCTTAATGTGATAAGATCTAATATTCAGAAACATGTACTACTGTGACGGCGTCTACTATAAAAAGACCCATCGGTTTAATTTTGATTTTGATTTTTTTTCTTTTGAACTAACATAACAGTTTTTTTAATGCCAAAGGGAGAAAAAAAAAATCTGGACAGCTTATATGGATTCTGTCATCGATACAGGTCTTAATGGCCTGAGCTACTTTAACTGTAAAAGTATTAAAATCTCGACAGTTTGAGAAGAGTTTTATGTGTGAACTGTCAACCCATACGTCATAAAAACAAATTGAGACTTAATATAAAACGTTTCAAATTTTGGGAAGAAACAGAAGCAAGTCTTGTAGAGAAAATGACATGACGGAAAATTTGAATTAAATACACATGTAAGTAACTATAAATACCTGACTCGTAAAAATTGGTTTGTTTGAAGAAAAATGAAAAAACACTATTTCTTTTCCTTCTTCTGTTATTCAGCATTAACAAGGGGACAAGGACAGTTTACTTGACGAGGTAAGAGAATCTAAGGTCTTGATTTACACCTAGGAAGACTCGTTTGGATGCTCTACATTATTATTTATTACTGGCTGTTAGTTATATTTAATGTTCAGTTTTCAACTGAACTTTGGCAGCTTTAGAACCAGAAACTGGTTGGTAAGAAGGCTGAACAATATGAAAACTGTCTTTACATCCGAAGCTTTCTTTTTCTGTCTTCATTTCCTTTTCTCTAAATAAATAAATAAATAAAGAAACCATCTTTATAATTCTGTTTGAACCGTCATATTATTTTGTTCTGATCTAAAGGAAGACACCCTTTCTTTAAATTCATTTTTTCGGCACCATAGCAACCTGTTGCTATCTAACAGGAGACTTGTCACCACCAATTAGCCTTTCCGGGTAGTTGATTCATAACTGGTGCAAAGATCCTTGAGTTGGTCCCCCATTTCATTTAATATGAATTCAAAGAACTGTTTACATATATGTATATATGGCCCTTTGGAGTTGAAAAGCTGGTAGATGTAGTAATAAGATGTCCACACAACCTAACAGAAACTGTTCATAAATTCGCACCTTATTCAAAGTTTTTAATAAGAAAGTGCCGAATACAATCAAGACTCGAGAAAGAAAACTTTCTCTGTATGGTATGCAAATACATATAATGTCCTAGATTTGCAAAGTGAAGATTTCAAATCTACAGAATACAAGGGAATATAGTAACAGTAAACAGGACTCAAAACTTAAATGAGTTCTTATCACTCATTGATTTTTTTTTTTTTTTTTGGTGCTAAAATATCACTCATTGATTGATAAATCTCATTAATGACATAACAAAAGTAGGTTACACCAAAGAAAGGCCACAAATGACGACCACTGCATAAACACTGCAGTCTATGAAAATCCCCCTAATGGCTTGGTAAACCACCAAGCCTCTTTCCAAAAACCTTAACGCCTGTGTCCAATCATGCCCATCATCCCGTATCCGAAGCACTTCTTCTTCCTGTCCTTCTGCTCCTTCATCCTCGGGGGCTCTTCGGTTCTCGAGGTGCAATCGAGCGATAACGATTGACACATCAGTTAGTAGAAGAATGTAAAGAGGCCTTGAGGCCACAACACTCTCTGTCGTCACTATGTTCCTTCCGAAAAGGGGATAGTCAACATAGGATAACACTACCAAGAAAGCTATTATCAGGGCGCAGAAAATGCGCGGGGTCTCAGAAACTATGATGGAGGAATTTAATCGTTTGGAACTGAAAAATTTAGGCCGTCGTTTAATTTGAAGTAATGTTGATGATGATGATTCTGAAGATGTTTGTATATTTTTTTTCTTGTACTCTTGTTCTTGACCACATTCAATTTGGCTTCCAATGTTACAGTCTTTTTCCTCCTGATCATCTGAAACGGCCTCTTTAGCAATTTTCTTATTCTCAGAACCAGCTGTAACAACAGTGATGAGTTAATCCAATGGTAATAATTAAGATCACAGCACAAGTACGCACATAAATATGAAATTAATTTGTGCAACAATATTTATTGTACTATTATAAGTCATATATGGGTGCAAATTCCTAAAATTTTCTTTAGGTAAACGACATGGGAGAAAGTCTATGCATGAAACATGAGAAGATTTAAATACCCTTTCTGACCCGTTTTGAATACAGTAAACATAAATAATTATCACGTATTAGCATTATTGTTTTCAAAGATTGTAGAATTCAACAAATTGTCACATGTAACGTTGAACCATGTGGAAAAATCATAACTTGTAAATTAATTAAGCAATCTTCCCTTCTCTTCGGAAACGATATGTTTAAGAAGTCTTTAATTTGTGTATATTAATTAGGATCTCCAGATTCAGTCAGAAATTAAACACATGAATAATCAGGACATAGAAACACACACACAAATATTATATACTTATATATATACACATGTATATCCTCGCCGAGCATGCAAACGAAAAATCTATATATATACGTGGTTATGGATCAATGACGATGATCACGACATTATAAGGAGATTAAATGATCGGAATCACATAGTTGCAAACAATGATCAATCAAACATAATAAGAATTCAATCGCATAAAGTAAAATGTACCATAACTCATGTGATTATAAGGAAATGATGAGGAAGATATTGGTGAAGGAGGTGGGGTTGAAGGAACGAGACTTTGGAGACGGCCCGTTATGAGTGCCATGCGATCTGACCCTCTCTCCACAATTCTTCTTCTTCTTTCTTCTCTGTTAACGACGTCATTGTTCATTGCCATCTCTCTCGGTCTCTCTCGAATTTCAGATGCCTCTTTAAGCCTTTGATCAAATGTTCCTCTTTGGGTAATTTTGTCAGTCAGGTAATTTTGTTGAAAACTCTTAGCAATGCATACGTCGTCGTTTTCTTACTTGACCACATTTTGAAAACGTAACACCCTCCCCTCGAACTATGAATTCTTAAAAAAAAAAAAAAAAAACTCATTTCGTCAGTTTTTTTTAACTGAAAAGTGACTCGTATTACATAACTATGGGGTATTTTAGTAATTCTACATGTTCTTGAAAAATATTACAAATTAAAAATTAAAACTTTCTGAGTAATTTTCATTTAATTAATTAATTAATTAATTAAAAGAGTAAAATTAAAAATTGTCTTATTGTTTCATTTTATTTATTATATATATTAGATTAAAATTAAAATTTATTTTAAAAAATAATAAATTTAAGAAAATTTGTGTGACATATAGTGATTGCATCAAATAGACTAACATAATGAGCATTTTTGTTAACAATTTAAAGTTTAAGAGACAGGTGTTACATTTTGAAAATTAAAGGGTAAAGTGTTACACGGTTTATAGTTCAAAAGGAATTTTTGTAATTAATCTTTATATGTATTAGAAGGTATTTACATTTTTCGTTTTTATTAATAATTTAATCAAATTAATTTTTTCAGTCGGTTTCGATTGGTTTTGAACGACAACGAAACAGGAAAGTGTGATGAGCTAAATTCTAGAGAGAAGAATGTGTGTTGTAATATCATGTAACGTGAAAATGATTCGGCGAGAGCAACTGAAGGTAGGAGACAAGAGTGGTAGCTTGAAAGGGGCGGAGCTATGGTTTTCGCTTCAAGACTCAAGGGAGGGAGGTTTTCTCCTCTAATTGATTCAGTTTGTAATTTAGTGCAATGATGCACCATTTCACTTCAACATACGACCCGTTGGCACTACTATAATTGGGAGCTACTTTTATGACATGTTTACTTATCAAGAGTAGAGAATGAAAATTGAGATTCGGAATCAAACTCTATGTTTACTTACCTATTTATATCATGGAATGAGAGTGAGAATGTGTGAGTCCCACACCAATTTGGAGTTAAGGAATGGGATTGACACTCCCCCTACCCCCTACTGGATTGCCACTCTCAATCTTGATATTAAATGCAAAATTATGAATTTACCCTTAAAGAATGCACGACATGTCAGGGTGTTTATTGATAATCATATTTTTGTCTAATAAATTCTAAAAAACTAGTATTTAAAAGCAAAATTTGAGAAGTAAGTCGGGTATTTGCTTTTACACAACTCATTTTGCTGTTAATATTTTAATTTGCTAAAACATTCTCAATCACAAACTATAGTCAATCAAACTGCTTCAGTTGGTTCAACGAATAACCACATGTGCGGCTAGAAAACCGTAGTTCCATCAGCATCGAACCATTGGTCGGTAATTATGAACTGCCCTAACAGTGTCATAACTCATAAATTATAATGTCTGTTTTTTAGAGTCAGGCAACTATAAAGGGGAAGAAACCAAGAAATGACAATGTTTTGAGGGGTAGGTTAAGAAAATCTCTAGATCATGATCTTTGGTTTAAAACTCTAGCAAGTAGCAAATCACGTTAAATGTCTCTCACAAGAAACGTACACCTCGCATGAAATAGACTACATTTTCTTTTGATAGTTTGCTGGCAGTATGAATTCTTATTAATACGATGCCATCTTTAGATTCAGAAATTGGATTCGAAATACAACAAAGAATTTGCCTTCTAAACATTCTCAATAGGTTCATTCTTTCCTTCTTACTTCATTAATACCAAAAAAGGCCTTTTTGAACAACGAATGAGCCATTGTATATTTCAAACCCTCTCGTTGGTCAAATTTGAAAATTTTAGTCAATAAATCCCCCATATATTTAATTTCATCGATGTTATTCCCAAAAATTCATATCCCATAACTTAATGCACTAATTAAAAATAATTAACGTTATTTTCACCAACCATTTAATTCTCATATGTTACTTGCCTCTATTGCTAATCCAGTTTTTTTGTTTATAAACCACTCAAACCTCCAAACTCTTTCACCCAAAACCCACCACAGTAAACACAAAAGAACTCTCAACCAACAAACAAACAAAAGAAAAAAAAAATGCCAAAGAAACTCCAAGATTATCTCTTCAAGATCAAAAAACCGACCCCAAAAATCCATTTCCCCACCAACTCTTTCTCCTCCTCCAAAAGCTGGATCCTCTCCGGCTGCCAAAACCCCAAAACGCTGTCGTTTGCCGTCGGTCGAAACGACGAAAAGAACGCCGCTCCTCGCGAAAACAACGACATCTCGGCCAAACTCTCCGACATCGACCGCTTCCTCTTCGAAAACTTCAAGTCACTCTACATAAAAGACGAAGTCGTAGTCGACACAAGCACCGGTAATCAAGAAAACCCAGGCGGGATTCCATTCGAATCGCCCCGGTTCGGCGACCCGGTCCCGAAACTCTACCGGTCGAACCGGTTCTCCGTCTCGCCCGGAATATCGGGCTCGCTGATCGAGGAATCACGGACGAGCATGGCCACCAGTACGACCTCAGGCGACGTCGTATGCTCGAGGTCGTCCACGTCGACCGTCGATCACGATAGAAACGTCTCCGTTTCTCTCCCCGACGAATGCGTCGCTGTTTTGGCGTACTCTCCGAGCCCTTACGAGGAGTTCCGAAGCTCCATGTGCGAGATGGTGGAGACTCGCCTGCGGCGCGGCGAGGACGTGGACTGGGGCTTCGTGGAGGAGCTTCTCTTCTGTTATTTGAGTTTAAACGACAAGAAATCTCACAAGCATATTCTCAGCGCTTTCGTGGATTTGGTCGTCGATTTGCGACGACGACGACGCCGTTGGGATTCTGAATGCGGATCATCGGCTGCGGAGAGATCACGGAATTACAGAACCAGGAGAAAATTGAAGTGAGAGAGAGAAGTAACGTAAGGGGATCAAAAAACAAAGGTCTTGGTTCTGGTGATGTGATGGTGATAGTGATAGTGATAGCTACGAGGAAGTTTATTGGATTCGGGACTGTTTAATTTTGGTGTAAGGTTCCGTAGCCTTCACATGCAATATGTGTGTATTATATTAGTATATTATATATATATATATGTGTGCGTGTGTGTGTGTGTGTGTGTGTGTTTGAATGCAATTGTCAAGAAAGTTTAAGCACTTGGTTTAAGTTTTGTAATTTTGTGAGTTTTGGTGGGATTTCGTGGATATTATTGGCGGGGGGTTTTTTTTTTTTTTTTTTTTTTTTTTTTTTTTTTTTTTTTGTCGGGTGCATGTTCACCGTGCTTTACGAGGAGTTTTGATTTGGATATTAATCGTATTATTCTGATATAGAGGAAAAGTTTAATTTTGCATTATTCATGCAGGAATAAAAATATATAGTATAGCTTATTATCTTAAAGTGAGATGCAGAAGCTGAAACCTACAAGCATAGGAACATGGCAACCTTGGTTTGTCTTAGAAGAACTACAAGATCAAAAATGAAAAAATGAAAAACGTGAAATACTTAGGGTGCGTTTGGATTTTGGAATTGATTTTTAATTGTTTTTTAAAATGTTTCTATGCGCCTTTTGAGACACGAAAATGAAAAAAGTCTGTAAATCATATTTGTTTAACAAATGTTTTAAAAATGAAAATAAAAATAAAAAACTGTGAGAATGGTGTTGATACCCAAAATTTTACAAGATATCGGCCTAGCCCAAATCGAATAAATGCAATCCAAGTATGGTGCGTGGACCCAAGCCACGTTTGGAGACTTCTATGTGGGCCGTGGTTTGGCAGGTCAAGTAATGTGACCGGACCTATTTTATCCGGCCCAATTAGATCCTTGGCCCACTTGAGGTGGTCCTGGGTCTATGAGGGAATTATGATAATGTGGGTTATGGAGGAAATTAGATAGAGTAAAACCTATAGATAGTCCAGGAAAAAAACTATTAGCCCACTACCTCGCACTAAGACACAAAGCAACATTTCTCCACGTCTTTCTTTTCCTTTTCTTCATCCAACTTCTGCCTTCTCAGCTCAAGGCAGTCCATTCCTCAAAAACACCGTGAAAGGCCATAATACATATGAATGAAAGGGGAGAATCTCTGTCCATCCCACTGCCACGCCCTGACCTCACCACGAAGCCACGTCTGGCTGCCACTCCCTGACCTCACCCAAAATGGCCACGAAGCCACGTCTAGCTGCCACTCCCTGACCTCACCCAAAATGGCCACGAAGCCACGTCTGGCTGCCCAGCGACCTGTTACATTCCCTTCTGGGGTAAACATTCTCCTGGGAGCATCGAAAGCTGCCCTTGAATCCCACTGGAAATGTCTTACCGACGGGGACCTCTGGGGGGATTTTAGCCAATATCCAAAACGGCTAGCGGGAAAACTTCCCGCCCTTTTTTTACCACAAGCCTGGCCTATAAATATCGTTGCCCAAACCTCTTAAAAAACAACAAGATACACGGGAAAGAAGGAGAAGGGCATATCAACGTAGTTTGTTCTAACTCTTATGATTTTCTGGTTTCTATCAGAGCGACCGACGGAGAATAATATTCTCCATAACTTCTAGCGGAGTCCCTCTAGAACAAGTTTCTAGGTGTTCTCCCCATTGGAAGTGGTAACAAAAGCTCCTGAAACACCAAAAGCCCTTAACCACAACCCAACACCTCAGGATTGACTGTTTTACTCCCTTCACACACTATGTCCGGCGGGATCGTTTTGTTCACAAACAGAGAAATATAACTCCGTTACCCACTTAGAAACCTCCTCCATAAACTGGTCACGTTCCTCTCCCACACTATACGCTCATTGGGAGATCCCCATCAGAAATTTCTCAACGTCACGGAGCTGAAGCCGCAACGGGTCTCGCCCTCGGATACTGTCTTCCTCGGGGACATCCGGGTTTTGCTTACCTCAGTCGGGGCCAACCTCATCATCCCGGCCACCATCGACGCCAGGAGGGACCCTCAACAGCTCTTTGGCCACGTCAGTCGGTGAGTGCACAGTCGTAGCGAACCAAACGAGGCCACGAGTTTCACACCTTCCACGTCGACAAGCCCTCGCCAAAAGAGCCCCAACAAATGGTTTTTGTGAAGGAATTAAAAAACGATTAAAAGTTATTTTTCGTTTTTTGTTTTCATTTTCTAATGCTTATAACAATGTTATAATATATTAATTAATAATTATAACCAAACACGATTTCACTTTTTTATTATACTCAAAATAATCTCTTTAAAAACCAACCAAACACAATTTCAGAATCAATCGTAGAATGATTTTCAAAACAATCTCATTTTTATTTTTGCACTGAAGAAAAAATCATTTTAAAAATAATACTAAACGGGCCCTTTAGTGTTTTGTTATAAAGTTTTTTTGTTTTATTACCTATTATTTTCATAGGTTTAACCGCAATTCAAAATTATAGCGTTTTCTATAACAAAATTTAAAATTTTAGTTCAAACTTTCAATTTAAACACCGCCAAAAAAAATAATAATAACAGCAGGTTGCCCTGCAACCAAGATGTAGATACAACGTAGGGAGTTGAAATTGGGCTTTGAGAAACTGCCAGCTTGTCAGCCAATTACCTTGATATTGTAATTGGTAGTAGGAAGCACTAAGCAATTGTATTTGCGTTTCCATGCTTTCATGAATATGAGCTAAATTAAATTTCCGAAGAGAAATGAATGCAAATACCTTAATATTTTGTTTTCTAAAGTTAAATTTCATCATTCAAAAGCCTCTCCAAGGAGAAATGAATGCATGAGATTGAAACGAAAAAAGGCAATATATTACTAACAAAAATGAAAAAGTCAAGCAAATTCGTTACCAGTCATTTCTAATGGACACGTTATTTAGAAAAAAAATAAGTTCAATAAGAGTTATTCTTTCACATGCATAACATTGTAGATGAGACTTTAGGCAAAATAAAAACTCTTTGGAGTCAAGATTAACTCCAAGATATATCAACACCACATGGATGGTTTGAACATCAAAATTTTCATTCAATTATCAATTCATCCGAACCACCATATAGTTACAAAATAACGTCAACCCCGAAAACATTTCTGTATGCATAAGCATGAATTACAAGTATGATTTACATCGAACCAAATTCTATTAACTATGAGATTTCCATGCGTAAACAAATGAAAGTTCAGTTGCTTTTTTTTTTTTTTTTTTGTAACAAAAATTACATATGAGCATTTGCTGACTCGTGATAACTTCAAAATCTAGGGGCTGCGTATATAATTATACCTCTCAAGGACACTAGTTAACAAAAATCAGCTTCAAGTCTTCAAGGCCAACCAGAGCCCTGCGAGTCAGAAAGTATGAAGTAATTACAATCGTATATCTCACAACTGAATTCCAAGACTAGTGTTAAAACTTAAAGAGTACGTACTTTTAACTTTTTTATTTTTATTTTCTTCTTCTGCCAAGTACTTGCACAATTTGATAGCGAGAACAGGTTTCTGGGCTTCAATTTAACAAGAGATTGTGCTGGGCTATCCCTCAGTGTTCATCTCGCTGCATTACAAGTGACAATCACTTCAGTAGAAACAATTCCACTTCAGTCATTTTGTACACCTTGTGAGACCATTGCCAATTGAACTCGTTACCTTACGGTGGAATCAAGTGTGGAATTAACGCTAGACTATGGCCTAAAAGCATGAGAGCATTGCCAATTATATCATCTAGGCATGAATATGACGAACACCTAATGCCAACAGTTGTGATGCAACATGTTACAGCCTTTGCTTTGATTCTTCTTGTACAATGCATTCATGCACCGTACTTCTTAATATGTATCTTAACTATAGAGAGAGAGAGAGAGAGAGATCCTAGCTCCTTCTAGTCTAAGCAAACAAATCAAATCATTTACTATAAATCTGCAAAAGGCACATCAAGCATATGTGTGAATGTAAACAAGTAGAGGGTAACATGTCTAGAGTTCCACCTTACCGCCCGGATCATTGCTTGTGTTGTGAAATTGGTCATATATAGAATGATACTTGGTGGGGACAAAATCCTTGAACCTGCTGACAGCGGCCCAAAAAAAAAAAAATTAGAGAGAGAGAGAGAGTCCCAAATGGAATAATATCAAATCAATGGAATCTGCAAATGAAACAACTTTTCCTTTAATAATTCAGCAGCTCTTTCAATGAGCCAAATTCAATAAATGAAGTTTGAAAAATGGAAAACAGAACCAAAAACATGAGCTTGAGAACGTTGAAAGAACTATCCATCCCAAGTTAATCAAGAAAATGAAGACCGTATCTTTCATACTACCTAATAGCTTTAAAGACAATGCAATCAAAAGTCAAAACTCAAGATCCACAACCGTGGGGGCAGCTATCATCTGTACTATAACATCATACCTTTTGAGAAGAGAGAACCTCTCTGGTCCAGAAAATAATCTGGCAATAGAACCCAAAACTTCAGTTAAGTTCATTGCTTTGGATTTAAACGCTTTCATCAAATTCACAAATTCTTCATATTCAGAAGCACCGAGTTTCTCTTGAACCTGCAAGGCATAGAGTGGAACATCTACAACTTTGAATCTTTCATCAACAATATAGAAAAGGAAAATACAAATTTTATTATTATAATAAGGCAAGTAGCAGAATTCTATTTTCTACAACTTTACCTTATCCAGGGGCTAATCTATACAGAATTCGCAGATTGTGTTATGCTTTACGCCTTTACCGTTATCTAAAGCCAAATAATACGTAGAATTCTAAGATTGTGTAATACATTAGCGCCCCAACACATTTTGCTATTTTCCAGAAACCAAAACTCTCTCTTACTTCTTGAACAATCATAAAAGAGTTAAATCACGAATTCAGCGCTTCATCAAAACAAAGAATAAGTAAATACATAATAAATTTCCTAAGTAGCACCTTCACAGGAAGCAATCTTCTTAAGAGCGTTTGTTTATCATATCCACACAATAGTTTCTTTTTCTTCCTATTTTAATTTGAATAATTTCCATGGTTTTTATCGACAAAGTAAATATCTGTTTATAGTGTCCAGAATTGTCTTTCCTTCTTTTTTTTTTTCTATGGCTTTTCAAGGACTCGAGGGTGAATATATGTGTCATGCATGCTAAAGCACCTCACCTGATTCAAGAAGTCAGATCCTCTGGTTTCCGTATTACCAGAAGTCACATTGTCTTTGCGACCAACAACGTCAGCTTCCATCTTTTTGTTATTCCTAGTCCTACTCTCTTCACTAAGCAGCGAAACACCAATTTGGGCACTTTGTGTACTTCTACTGTCAGAATCACGTCTGCTCTCACATTCCAGAGAACTAGGAGATGAAGAAAAGTCATTCGATGCACAATTTCTCAAACAATGTGAATGGTCCTTAAAATTTTCATCATGAAGCATCACTTCATGCTTTGTGCCTACAACTTTACGCTTCTTGGAAGGACAAGGAGTTAATAGTGCTCTAAATGATTCTTCATTTAATATAGAATTACGAGGAGAATCAGTTGTTCCTGTTCTACTACTTTGATACCGTAAAGCTTTCCCAGCAGAAATGAGCAACTTTTTCTCATTGCCCAATAGTTCATTTGAAGACGTAGATGTTGCAGACTGATCCTTGAAGGAAGTAAGAGATAAGCGATTAGCAGCTTGAACTTTCTCCAATACTGAACCCGCTGATACCGTCTACAAGTACAACAAAAACTAGATCATAGTAAAATGTCTGACATAATTTGCATATCAAAAAATCTTCTACAAAGAAAATGACAATGATTTACCGAGCGCTGAAGCTTTTCTAAATTAAATTTGTCTCGAGACTGCTCCACTTTCACCTCACTTTCACCAATCTGTGCTGATTTTGTGGTAGAACTCAGGTCTACTAGATAGTACAAATGAAAGGCTTCTTATTAAGTCATGAGGAATGACCCCTTTAATGCTCAAAAATCATTGTATAATTGAACTTCTAGGCCAAAAAACAACTGTCAGTTCATATTTTCTTTCTCTAGAGTAGTCAATCGTATGAGAAAGCTCCAAGCCATTTGACGGCTCTTACCCAGTTTTTCACTTTCTAGTAACTTCAGCTTTGTAGGACCCCAATCTCTTCCATCTCGAAAGAAACGGGTCAATGTGAGAACTACATCCCCAAATTTCGAGTAGGTCTAGAGAAACAGGAAACAAGTAAGTACTAGTTTAGAAAAGATTAAAAGGTTATTTCCGAATGGAAAGGCACCTTGAGATGAGGCTGTATCCATAGAGAGATTTGAGACTGACGATTTGAATGTGAAAACCTGTTTGTACACGAACAAATTTTGAGAGGCAAGATCGAACTATTATATTAGGAACAATAAGAAAAAGAACCAAGCCGTGAACTAAAACCTCTCATCACAAAAGATAATGGCTCCATAGTCATGGCGATGACGGATTACACGTCCAACAGCCTGATTCACCGCTCGTGATGCTTGTTGACTGTACCAGTCTTCTCCAGTAAGAGATTCCGACTTAAACATTTGATTAAAAGAAAAAAGTTTAGAAAAGGTCAAGATCCACAAGGAGTAAATATCCAGAAGTTTGAATGGCGTTCCTCAGAAAGCAATCCCGGAATTACCTTGCCTGCTTCTCTTTGAAAATGCGTCTGTTCATTCAAGTACTCACGCTTCAATCGTACCTGTGTTTTTTTTTTCCTCATCATATAAGATCAACCAAGAAGTACAATGACCATGAATCTATGCAACTTCTCAGAGTAAATGCAAACTAGAGTCGAGACTTCTGATGATGGAGAAATTTGTAAACGCTGGAAAATTTGTAGCAAAAGCACACAAAAATAAAATCAAACCTTTGGGTCCGTTATTGTGGCAAATGGCATACCAGTGATGACTACAGCTCTTCCAGCATGATCGGCAAAATCTAGTCCTTCACTTACCTAACAAATTGCAATTAACCAATATAAGAGCAAGCACTCAAACAGAGACACACGGAAACTGAGTCAAGAACATAACTGTTGTTAAGCACACATTTATGTTAAGACGTGAAGCTTAAACCAAGAAACGAATCAATTTCCAAGACTAGGATCCACCAATAAAAGTTGCACGACAATTTTGGTAACTGGGGGCAGATCCTGGAGTCAAATGATGGACATTGCCAGTGATATAGGGATCTCTGTAACCAGACTTGTAGGACCCAGGTAAATTCCAGAATTATCACTAACAATATCATTTGCAATATCTGGCAAGTTAGCATGCAAATAAGCAAAAACGTGAAACTTGTTCCATGTAGATGAGGTATTTTTGTCATCTTCATGACAGAGATGCACTGCTGTAAGAATCAGTACACCTGGAGATACTTTTTTTTTTTTTTATAACAAAAACCCTTTTCATTGATAGAAAATCAATTACAAGGAGAAAGGATGAGATATCCTTAGAGAAAAACAAGAAAGAAAATAAACCTAGGGAAGAAATCAATTATCTTCTAACAGTTTTGAGAAGAATAATCAATGTTGCTTATTTTATTAAAGAGTACACATGAATATATATAGGAAGTAAGGAAAGCTACTGATAAGCCATAAACTAGGAAACTAATTATCCCTTCTACAGGAGAAGATAAACTAATAAGATAAGCTATAAGATTTGAATATTAATACAAATCTCTTATTAAAAGATAACACTCCTAATAATTATCCCTAATAAATAGAAGATATAATCTATCATAATCGACACCCCTCCTCAAGTTGGTGCATAGATGTTCAACATGCCCAACTTGCTTGTGAGAAACTCGAAGTTCGGTGTGAAGAGTGGTAAGAATATCAGTTATTTGTTGTGTTGAAGGAACAAATGGCATACAGATAGTTCTAGCCTCCAGCTTCTCCTTTATAAAATGACGATCGATCTCAACATGCTGACACAGGATTGTGAGCAATACTAATTGCAGCTTTGTTGTCGCATTACAACTTCATTGGCATCTCAACTGGTCTTCTAAGTTCGTCAAGAATCCGCTTGATCCACAATATCTCACATACTCCATGTGCCATGGCTCGGTATTCGGCTTCTGCGCTACTCCGAGCAGCTACATTCTGCTATTTGCTCCTCCATGTAACCAAATTGCCCCATACAAAAGTGCAATAACCGCCGGATGTAGACCTTCTATTTGTAATGGAACCTGCCCAGTCTGCATCAGTGTAAACCTCAATAGTCTTTTCTTCGCCTTTCTTAAACAACAATCCTTTTCCCGGTGTACCTTTAAGGTATCTTAAAATTCGATATACTCCTTCAAGATGTTCTTTACAAGGAGAGTGCATAAATTGAATCACAACACTTACTGCAAAGGCTATGTCAGGTCGGGTGTGGGATAAATAAATCAGCTTTCCCACTAACTTCTGGTACCGAGCTGTGTCAACCGGTGCTCCATCCTTGCAATCACCTAATTTTTAGTTCGGATCTATGGGAGTATCTACAGGCTTGCATCCGCTCATCCCAGTCTCTTTGAGAAGATCTAGCACATATTTTCTTTGCGAGACAGCAATCCCTTTTCTTGATTTTGCAACCTCCATTCCTAGAACGTATTTCAGGGTCTTTGATCTCGAATTCTGAGGCTAATCTTCTCTTTAACTGCTCCATCTCTACGACATCATTACTAGTGAGAATAATATCATCTACATACACTATTAAGACCGCCACTTTACCATCCTTTGAGTGTTTCATAAACATGGTGTGATCACTCTGACATATCCCTGATTTTTCACCAAATAAGTGAATTTTTCAAACCAGGCTCTCGGAGATTGCTTGAGCCCGTATAAGGACCTTTTTAGCTTGCAAACTTTAGAGTCAAACTTCTCTTCAAACCCAGGTGGAGAGGCCATGTACACTTCTTCCTCCAAGTCTCCATTCAGGAACGCATTCTTTACATCTAACTGCTGAAGAGGCCAATCAAGGTTTGCTGCAATTGAGAGAAGTACTCTCACTGTATTTAACTTGGTTACTAGGGCAAAGGTCTCAAGATAGTCAATGCCATAGGTTTGTGTAAAACCTTTGGCCACCAAGCGAGCCTTGTGTCGTTCAAGAGTTCCATCCGAGTTATATTTGACTGTAAAGACCCACTTGCAACCCATAGTCCTTTTTCCTCGTGGCAGATCTGTCACTTCCCATGTTTGTTTCTTCTCTAGGGCCCTCATCTCCTCATAGACAGCCTTCCTCCACTCGGGAACCTGTAAAGCTTCCTGTACACTTTTTGGAATTTCCACAGAAGAAAGTTGTGAAGTAAAGGCTAAGAAATTAGGAGACAACTTTTCATAGGAAATATAGTTAGACATGGGGTGCCTAGTGCAAGAACGAATGCCCTTCCGGGCAGCAATATGGACATCAAGATCATTACAAGATTCAGGATTAGATTGAACTTTTGGGACGAACTCAGTTTGATTATTACCTGAAATTTCGGACTGTTTAGGTTCCTCCCTTGGTTCGGATTCATGGTTGTGTAAAGAGATAGGACCTTTTTCCTTTGACGATTTTCTTCTTGAATAGGTCAGTATGTTGGTATCCGTTTTGGTCCAATTCTTTTCACCAGTGAGATTTAATTTGGGTGATGGCACTAAGGATGTCCGGTCCAAAATATTTTCAGCCCTTGTTTCATGTACAGCCTGGTCTTGGTCAGGAAATTCTAGTACAAATTCGGATTCTAAAGTCTGATTTTTCTCATCCGGACTTGTACTAGATTTTGTAACAGTGGTTTCTAAATTCAAGTTTGAATCCGGGTTTATTTGAAAATCCAGAGTCCTCATCTTCCCTTTTTCTCCCCTCTTGACGATGGTATTCAAAGAAAGATTTATTTTCAAAAAAGGTTACACCCATGGTGATAAACATTTTTTTGGAAATAGGATCATAGCATTTATATCCTTTTTGAGTTGGGGCATATCCCACAAAGACACATTTTCTAGCCCTAGGATCAAGTTTCCCTCGATTATGCTCATGATTATGTGTAAAAACAATACATCCAAAGATTTTCAAAGGGAGTGTAGAGGTAAGTCTGGATGTAGGGTAATTAGTTTCGAAAATATTTAATGGTGTTTGAAAACGTAGAACCCTAGAAGGCATCCGATTTATTAAATAAGTGGCTGTCAAAATGGCTTCCCCCCAAACATACTTAGGGACATTATTTTTAAATAGTAAGGCCCTTGCAACTTCTAAAAGGTGTTGGTTTTTTCGTTCAGCCACATCATTCTATTGAGGAGTATCATTAGAAGAACTCTGATGAACAATACCCTTTTTCAAGAAAAAAGATCCTAAAATTTTATTGAAATATTCTTTCCCATTATCCGTTCGTAAAATTTGAATCTTTGTTTGAAATTGAGTTAAAACCATGGAGTAAAAATTTTTAAACACATTTTCAACTTCAGACTTATCTCTCAACAAATATACCCAGCTTACTCTAGTGTGATCATCTATGAACGTGACAAATCACCTTTTTTCTGAGGGTGCTAAAATCCTAGAAAGTCCCCAAACATCACTATGGACAAGCACAAAAGGTTTTGAGGGTTGATAGGGTTGTAAGGGAAAAGTAGAACGATGATGCTTAGCCAATTCACATACTTCACATTGAAACAAAGATGGATTTTTATTTCTAAACAAAACTGGAAATAATCTTTTTAAACAATAAAAATTCGGATGGCCTAGTCTATAGTGCCCTAATATTATTTCTTCATCTCTAGTAATAGAGACAATTCCATAACATGTACTTTGTACTGGCCTTTTTGAACTTGGTCCATCTTCAAAGAAATAAAGTCCTCCAATTTCTCTAGCACTACCAATCATCATCCCCGTGGTTAGTTCCTGAAACTCACAATAAGATTGAAAGAAGTTAACTTGGCACTTAAGGTCACTGGTTATTTTACTAATGGACAATAAGTTGCATGAGAGATTAGGAACATGAAGAACATTTTGGAGGGTAAGAAAAGGAGAGATAACAATTGACTATGTTCCAGCTATTACTGACAATGACCCATCTGCAATTTTAATTTTCTTATTGCATGCACGTGGGTTATACGATGAAAATAATTTTGAAGAACCGGTCATATGATCGGTTGCACCTGTGTCAATAATCCATGAATGAGATGGATTAAACTTTTCACAAGAAAAGGCTACGGTAAGATAGTTACCCTTTTGGGCTAAAGAGCAAGAAGAGTTTACTGAGAATTGTGGAGATTGAAATAGCTTGTACAGTGGTTTAGTTGTTCCTTGGTGAAGGGAGATGCCTCTGAGGTAATTTGCTGCCCTTGAGAGTCTTCGTTCATGGTTCGTAAGGCTCTATTTTCTCCTCCGTTTCTCCTCTTTTGACTCTGAGGTGGTTGCCCATGGAGTTTCCAGCAAGTCTCTTCGGTATGCCACGGTTTTTTGCAGTGGTCACACCAAGGCTTCTTCTTCTTTTCTCCATCTGAGTCACTTCCTTTTGATACTAAAGCCGAACTCTCAACCTCAGGACTATTTTTAGGTTCAAAAGTCTTCAGCATTACTTTGCGCCTGGTTTCCTCTCTTATTACTTCAGAGAAAACTTCCTTGATGGAAGGCAGTGGTTTCCTTCCTAGAATTCGGCCTCATACTTCATCTAATTCCTGATTAAAACCTGCAAGAAACGCATATACTCGATCATTCTCCTCTCTTTTCTTATGGCGAACACTGTCAATTGGACAGTCCCATTCATCTTCATAGCAAAGATCCAATTCCTGCCAAAGTGGTACAATCTCATTATAATAAGATGTAATGTCGCGGTCTCCTTGTCTGGACTTCCAAAGCTTCGTTTTTAATTCGAAAATTTGGGATGAATTTTCCACATCGGAATACATGTCACGGACTGCTTCCCAGACATCTTTGGTTGTGGGCAGGAATGGATGTCGCTTTCCAATGGTTGGTTCCATGGAATTGATGAGCCACGCAATCGTCAAGGAGTTCTCTAACCTCCATGTTTTTAGGTTTGAATCCCCTGCTGCTGGTTGCTTCACTTCGTCGATTAAATAGCCAAGTTTTTCTCTGCCGTCAATGGCCAGTTTAACGAACTGAGCCCACTCTAAATAATTACTGCCATTCAGCTTATGGACAATCAATTGGAGGGAAAAGGTTGAAGATAGGTGCTCTACTTTGCTGGCTGATATTGTGGATTCCAATTGGGTCCTTTCGGTGGTAGAGGATGAGTCACCGCCGGAGGAGGTATTCCTTCCAGTCATCGCTATTTTGTAATCCATAGGGAGGTTTAGGTTTTGAGCCGTGGCTCTGATACCATAACAGTTTTGAGAAGAATAATCAATGTTGCTTATTTTATTAAAGAGTCCACGTGAATATATATAAGAAGGAAAGCTACTGATAAGCCATAAACTAGGAAACTAATTATCCCTTCTAAAGGATAAGATAAACTAATAAGATAAGCTATAAGACTTGAATATTAATTCAAATCTCTTATTAAAAGATAACACTCCTAATAATTATCCCTAATAAATAGAAGATATAATCTATCATAATCGACATCTTCCAATTACATTTATAAGGCACAGATTGCTAAAGGGTGGATATTAGAGACTCTTTTTGAGATTTTAACCAAATAAGCATCATATAGATTCACCAATCAGCAATCACAATGAGGGTAAAGTGTGTGTGTTTAGTCAAGGGCATCTAGACGTACCTTACCACGGCAAACAGCAAAAAATATTGCACCAGAAGATGAGGTGTCCTTCAGCTTAGCCATGTAATCCTGACAAAAGCAGGGGAAGAGTAAAGCATCGTATTGACCATCTAAGTAGAGGAAGTATATGCTCATAGACATGTTTGTATAGATGTTGAAGCGCGCTGATTCAAAGGTATGCAAGTAACCTCAATTGACAAAAGAAACAATGAAGATTGTCGAGGTTCCACAACAGGCCTCTTATGCTTCGATATTCTTTCCCATATCGTTGCTGAATTAGCTTGATTCTGCATAAATAAATAAAAAATCTGTTATCAAACGAAAGTAAACAGAATTGTTCCCTCCACTGATGGATTTTATTTCTTACCGTTGTCTTCCAGCATGCAATGCATTGGTCCAAAAGGTAGTAAGACGGAAAGAATACCAGCAGTCCATCTGGTACTATTCGAGCAAAATTTACTGGAACATTGAAATTGAAGAAAGAAAAAAGTTCCTCAGATAATCATCAGTAGTAACCTGGCTATTGATTAGGTTCTTTAAACCAACGTAGAAATAAGTTAGATTTTTCTGTTATCAAATTGACCAACATCTTTTTGACAAAGTTATAAGTTACAAACAGGAGCTTCCAGAAAGGAAATTTAATTTCTTCTCTAAGTTAAGTTACATTGCCTATCTATGTATCAATACATAACAAAGTGCAGTTATACTTATTTCTACGCTCCATCAGAACACATTAAAACAATTCTCAAAGGTGGTAGGAAAGGAACTAGTACCCTCTATGAAATTTTAGTTTCCAAATGAAGGACGTTCTAATAGGAACTATTTGAATATTTTGTTGTCATTACATATCATAGATGCCATGCCACGTACCTATAGCATTACCAAGCTCTTGCTTGTATTCAAGAGAATCGCGGCTCCTATAAGAGGAGTTGAAAGAGTAACTCGAAGGACCACATGGTACAACTCCAGCCCATATCTGATTAGAGGTTATAACATGAGGGTTCTCCAAACGGACTGGAAATTCCCTGAGACAATCAACAAAACATTTTCCATTAGATGTTATGTTAGTGACGCCACAATCAAATAGCAAGTAAAACGCAGAACAGTTGCTTACAGTTTTAGTGCCAGAGCAAATGAATCCATAGGAGATAATGTGCCAGATGTCAATATAAGAGAACCCACTTCCATCTTGGGGAATTCCTCCAGCGCAATTCCTGGATTAAAACACCACCAGCTAAGTGTCCTAGATGCTTTACCTGGAACAAAGAGAAAAAAAGATACTTGAAGCAGAATGCCACCATTACAAAAGGCATGTATAAATCACATTAGGCATATGAATAGCTGAAATGGAGTCAAGGTGCTTGAATGCGCATGTATGATTAGATAAAAAGTTCAATCAAGATTCCAATGCAAGACTTGAAAAGCAAAATCTTGACCGAAAAACTAATCAGTCATTTAGAGCAAAATTTCAGCTTGAGCAGCATAGAAGGCTCTCGACTGCTTTATAAAAAAAATAACAAAAAACAGAAGTAAAACTAAAATGGAAGTTCATGCAAATAAAGGTCTATTTGGATGAGAAGAAACTTAAAACGGAAACACAAAGTGCTTCTTTTTCTCTCATTTTCAGGATTTATTTTATTGAATAGATGGATAATAGATTATAAAAATACAAAACACTTCTTGAGCAAACATAAATCGAGACTTTAATTATGGAAGCAAGAAGTCTCAAACTTTACCTCTTAATCCATCTGGCGCACTTGCGTCAACTTCCTGCACGTGAACCTGATAAAAACCAAGAGAAATTCCTGATTCAGAAAACTATATATCGCTCTCCAACCAAAAGAAATATATAGACATTCTCTCATACCATGCTCACATATAATCACAGCAAAAAAGCAAATGCAACTTATTGATGACTAGTAATTTGACAGTTGGAACTTACACGATAGAATTTCGCATGCGTAGTGTCTTGTCTGAAAACTATATTAAGCATGTTGCTAATGCTTTCCAGCCGGCAGATATTGTTTTTCCCTTTTTGCTGGTTATCTTCTTCTAGAAGTTTAGTTGCATCATCAATTATACTAACAAGCTTCAAGGCAGTTTCATGAGTAATATTTAAATCAGCAAGCAATTCATAGATGTAAGGCCCAGGCTTGGAGAATCCTAATTCCTTAGATCCAATAGGCACTTCAGCAATCCGCTTCTCAAGCTTCAAAAGAAGTGCTGCAAGATATGCATTATTAACAAACTACAATAATGCATGAAAGCATTGCTAGAGAAAGAGAAATAAAAGCAAATGCATCCTAAATCAGCAGTACAGAATAACGAGGACCCATTGATAGAAATCAAATTGGAAATCAAATAGAAATTGAAAGAAACAAATGACCTTTGATTCGAGAGTTAGGCCACACCTCTCCAATAATCTCTAATCTACTGCTAATACTTTCCAAAACATGCATGAGAAACCCTAATCTTCCCCTAACAACCTTCTTAAACTCAGTCTCCCACTAATGACCTTGTCAATTTACCAAACTGTCCCTGTTCTTAATTCTTAAACGTACGCCTATAATATGTTTTCAACCCCTCCCTTCCAAGTCTAACATTCTCCTCCCAATGAGACACCTTATCCTCAAGGTGGAACAAAGGAAATTGCTCCCGAATCAAGTCAAATGGCTCCCATGTAGCTTCATAGTCCGGTAGATCTTTCCACTTGATAAGCACCTCCCTTCCGCCCGACGTTCTTTGACGGACCCCGTCCATTGCCTCTGGTTCCAAGACGACCTCCATGTCCTCAGTCAAAGTAGGCAGCAATGAAGGTGAGGAAGCATGATCTCCAATAGCACGTCTCAACTGGGACACATGAAACACCGGATGAATGGCCGACGTAGGTGGTAATCGCAAACGATATGCCACCTCACCAATGCGCTATGTGATCTCAAACGGCCCAAAGTACCGAGCAGAAAGCTTCTCATTCCTCCGTCGTGCTAACGTCTTCTGTCAGTATGGTCGGAGCTTCAAATAAACTCGATCCCCCACCTCAAACCGGACATCCCTCCTATGTCCATCCGCTTGCTGCTTCATAATCTGTTGAGCTTTTAATAAATGTTTCTTCAACACATCCAACATCCGATCTCGTTCCTCCAAATATTGATCCACCTGCGACACTGGCGTGGTGCGGTGCCCATAGTGCACCAAATGCGGTGGATCCCGCCCATACAGGATCTTAAAGGGGGTAGTCTGCGTCACCCTATGATAAGAGGTGTTATACCAATACTCCGCCCAAGCCAACCACCCCGCCCAATGCTTGGGTGTGTCAGATACAAAACACCTTAAATATGTCTCCACACTCCGATTAACGACCTCCAATTGGCCATCGGTCTACGGGTGATAAGCAGTAGTCCTCTTCAGAACGGTCCCCTGCATCCGAAACAACTCCCTCCAAAAGTGACTCAAAAAGATCGTGTCCCGGTCCGACACTATCGATTCCGGAACGCCATGTAGTCGCACAACCCCTCTCATAAACGCCGCTGCTACAGACACTACCATATAGGGATGTCGGATGGGTATAAAATGAGCATACTTGCTCAGGCGATCAACCACCACCAAAATCACAGTGTATCCCTCCGACCGAGGCAACCCCTCGATAAAGTCCATCGTCACCTCCTCCCAAACCTTCTCCGGTAGCGATAGAGGCTACAACAACCCACCTGGTGCCATCTCCATATACTTGTGACGCTGACACACATCACACCGCGCAACCATGTCCTCCACATCCTTTTTCATCCCTACCCAATATAGCTCTGCCTCCAACCGTCGATATGTCTTGAGAACACCTGAATGCTCACCAATAGCACTTCCATGAAATTCATGTAGTAATCTCGGTATGTGAATAGAAGTCCGTGGTAGAACAAATCGTCTCTGGTACAACAGACGTTGGCCATCCAACGCATAACCTGGTGGCCCCGCTCCTCCCCTCAGCAAGGCCGCTCGTATCTTCCCTAACTCCTCATCGGCCTCGCTCTCCTGCCGTAAAGCCTCCCAATCCAACACCAAAGGAACTGACAACGCCGACAACTGAGGCTCCTCAACCCTCCTTGATAGGGCGTCTGCCGCCTTATTTTCCAACCCGGGGCGGTATTGTATCTCAAAATCATAACCCAACAGCTTTGAAAGCCAACGCTGATGTTCCTTCGTCACCATACGCTGCTCCAGCAGAAATTTTAAACTACGCTGATCCATACGAACTATGAAACGCCGTCCCAATAAATAAGGTCGCCACTTCTGAATCGAGAGCACAATCGCCATGAGTTCGCGCTCATACACCGATTTGAGTCGCGCTCTAGCTGTTACCACATGACTGAAATAGGCGACTGGTCGCTGGTTCTGTATGAGTATTGCACCTAAACCATACCCTAAAGCATCAGTTTCAACTACAAATGGTTGGCTAAAGTCTGGTAAGGCCAACACTGGAACACTAGTCATCGCTTTCTTCAACTGCTCAAAGGCCTGAGTCGCTGCCTCCCCCCACTGAAAACTATCTTTCTTCAATTGTTCTGTCAAAGGCCATGCAATCAAACTATATCCCCTGACGAACTTCCGATAGTACCCTGTGAGCCCAAGAAACCCCCTCAACTCCTTCAACGTCTTAGGTAATGGCCATTCCCGCATTGTCGCAACCTTAGATGGGTCTGCCGCAACTCCCTCTGCCGACACTATGTGCCCTAAATATTCCACCCTCGTTTGAGCAAACAGGCATTTCTTTCGATTAGCATAGAGCGACTGAAAAGTAGCTGGGGCGTTGGTGAGGCCAAACGGCATGACTAGGAATTCATAATGACCCTCATGGGTCTGAAATGCAGTCTTTTGCACATCCTCACACCGCATTCGAATCTGATGATACCCGACTTCAGATCGATCTTCGTAAACACCGTCGCTCCATACAACTCGTCTAACAGCTCATCAATCACCGGAATCGGAAACTTATCCAACACCGTTTCGTTATTCAATGCCCGATAGTCGACACAGAATCTCCAACTCCCATATTTTTTCTTCACTAATAAAATAGGGCTCGAAAACGGGCTCACACTCGGCTGTATTATTCATGCCTCCAACATCTCGTTGACCAATCTCTCGATCTCATCTTTCTGTACCTGTGGGTAGCGATACAGCCGTACACTCACTGGTGATACCCCTTCCTTCAACACAATCGCGTGCTCATGCTCCCGCTTCGGGGGTAACCCTTTGGGCATTTGGAAGACATCCTCAAACTGTTCCAACAGTTGCTGAACCGACTTAATAACACTCGTTGTCGCCTCATTCCGCTCTCCTTCCATGATATGCAACTCAACCAAGAAACCAAGCCCACCATCCTGAATCGCCTTAACCATGGTTTTGAGGGTCACTAGGGTTTTGCACAAACTTAGATATCTGCGAAGCACTACAGTGTGACCTCCCTCCTGAAACTCCATTGTCAAGAGCTTCCAATTTACCCTCGTCTCACCCAATGACTGCAACCACTTCATTCCCAGAATGATGTCTGTGATACCCAAATCCAAAGGAAGAAAATCTTCCAACACTTGAATTCCTTGGAGCGTTAAAATCAGCCCTCTACAAATTCCTCTACTCCTCTCCACGGTACCATTACCCATGATCACCCCAAGATTGCCGTTGTCGACTAACCAAAGTCCTAACCTCTCCACCACTCGATTGGAGATGAAATTATGAGTCGCTCCACTATCCACCAACACCACCACATCCTGCTCTCCAATTTGCCCAACCAACTTCATAGTGTGGTTCGGTGTGAACCCCACCACCGAGTTAAGCGAGACCTCCGCCACATCCAAATGAGGATGCTCCTCCTCCTCTATCACATCTCCTATAGTCTCCCCCTCGTCGCCCTCATCATCACATACCGTGAGGACTTGTAATGAGCGATCCTTACACTGGTGCCCCGGAGAAAATTTTTCGTCGCACTGGAAGCACAACCCTTTCGCTCGCTTGTCATGTATCTCTGTCTCCGTCAGACGTTTGAAAGTACCCCCTGGTCGCACTCCTCCCATTCTATCCTTCGTTGTATCCCTCTGAACCCCCAACGTCTGAGTTTTCACCCCTCCTCCTGAAACAGTATTCCAGTATTGGAAAACACCGGAGTTACTTCTGTTAGCCCTCTCTGTCTTATTCTTATCCTCAATCATTTGGGCCAACTCCATGGTCTTGCCAAGCCCCCTAGGCCTCAACAACCGCACCGCCACTCGAATCTCCGGTTTCAGCCCCTTCATAAAATTTCCCTCCAATACTGCCCCCGAGATTCCCCTCAAACGCCCTGAAAGCAGTTCAAACTTCTCTCTATAATCCATAACGGTCCCCTCTTGTGTTAGAGCAAAGAACTGCTCGTGTAAATCCCCCTCCTGGGTAGCCCTAAAGCGCTCGATCACTCGGTCTTTAAACTCTTCCCACGACCTTATTGGTTGTCGCTGTTCCCGCCATTGAAACCATGACAACGCTTTGCCTTCCAAACACAATGCCGCTGCCATCAACTTCTCTTCCTCCGTCACCCCGTTGATAGCAAAGTCCCTCTCAACTCGATAAAGCCATCCATAAGCATCTTCCCCTTCAAATAGTGGCATCTTTAATTTCCTCACTCTTGAATCCACGCCCCAAATGTTTCGATTATTATCGACACCTCCCATGAAACGTGGGTTTTGGCTCCATACATAACATAGAAATCACACTTGGAAAGGGTGGACAATTAGCTAGAGCAGCAGGTGCTGTAGCGAAACTGATTGCAAAAGAGGGGAAATCGGCCACATTAAAATTACCTTCTGGGGAGGTCCGTTTGATACTCAAAAACTACTCAGCAAAAGTAGCCCATCTGCCAATCAACCTCAAAATCTCCCTGTCCTCCAAAAGTAGCCCCTGTCCTTGGAGGAAAATCACCTCCTCTATTATGCCCAGCCACAAAAGGTCCAATTTCCACCGGATTGTCCCTTCTACCGGGGTCCCAACCCCCAAAATCAACCTGCCCAGACCTGAAATCTCCAAACCCAGCCCTCAAATCCCTATTGGCTCCACAAAGTCAATCCGGAAGAGAGACAATCAATCTTAAACGTCCATTAAGCCATTGCATGGCCAACTTGCATATTCCAAGAGGCTTAGGCGCAATTTCCAGCAATGGACCAAGTCAAATTGCGGATAAAGAGTTAATTTTATCATAATTCTATCTTTTTAGGTTTAAGTTTCAAGTTTAAACATTTAAATTGCATAATAGGCGTTTTAAGGAAGGAGTTGAATTCAAATCCAGATTCCTTCCCTAGGATAAGTATTAGGCGTTTTTAAAAGGAAGGAATTAGACTCAAATTCGGATTCCTTCCTTAGGAGTTAGCTTTAGGCGCATTTTATCTTATCTTTAGGAGTTATCTTCATTTAGGCGCACACCTCATTAAGGGTAGGATAGGACTTTTTAATTTTTAAACATTTTCAACTTATACTCAGCTATTTAAGGCTGAAAAACGAAAATTAATAAAAGTTTTGATTTTTTATTCATATTGTGAGTTATTCTTCTTGAGTTCTTGAAGAGACTATTCCGAACTTATCAAGGTTTCCTTGTGGCGTTCAAACTTGACTTATCAAATGAATTTCTATACTCGTTTGTGGCGTCTTCACCATACCAAGGTTCTTACTTTGCTAAGCAACGGGTCGCGGTTTCCATCAATTCTTGAAGATCTTGGATCGTATCCCATATTTGGCTATGGGTTTCGTCACATTGTTGGCGGGGTTCGTATCACCTTCCACTGCCCAAGCCTTACCCGCGGCCGGCGATGCTCCCCATGTGTTGCCGTTCCAACCCCCGCCGACCCTCTGGTCATGCCTCACTCCAAAACCCCCTCGAGCGCCGCCGATTTCCCCTCCCAAATCGCGGGTTTCGCACGGGTCTGGGAATCCGCAATGCCGGTTCCCGTCGCGACCGCCGATGGCCGGCACAAGTCCGCCCCGGCCGTCGCCGGTCCCATCACGCCGCCCTCTTCAAACGAAACCCTAGGGCGCATGCCCAGGGAACTTCCGACCTCCCCAGGGGTCCCCTCAACCCCAATCGCCACTCCCTTTCCTCGCCTGACCGAGTTCTCAGCCATGTCGATGGCCGCCGTGGACGGCGTCGGTGAACCCGCTGCCGCCGGAGGGTTAGCGTGAAGATCCATCAATTTCTTCAACATTTCCTCCAAGTTATTGAACCGTCCTTCCACGTTGTTGAATCTGCCCTCCATGGCAGAAAATCTTCCTTCTATTGTTGTCTTCATCTCCTCAACCTCAGATTCCAATCTTTCTCCAAGAGCATCCATCTTCTTGGCAGCCATCTCCCCAGGAAAGAGCTCTGATACCAATTTGATAGAAATCAAATTGGAAATCAAATAGAAATTGAAAGAAACAAATGACCTTTGATTCGAGAGTTAGGCCACACCTCTCCAATAATCTCTAATCTACTGCTAATACTTTCCAAAACATGCATGAGAAACCCTAATCTTCCCCTAACAACCTTCTTAAACTCAGTCTCCCACTAATGACCTTGTCAATTTACCAAACTGCCCCTGTTCTTAATTCTTAAACCTACGCCTATAATACGTTTTCAGCCCCTCCCTTCCAAGTCTAACACCCATGTGCATGGGGATGATTACATGAGGGAAACAAGTAGTGACGGATTCATCATTATGGACATCATTATTTGAAGAATATTTACCAAGCAAGTTTACCTCTGAGAATCGCATAATTATCTGGGTTATTTGACTTGTCATCAGAAATTTCTCTTCTTGTTACAGAAATATCAATGCAATTTTTTGCTTCAGAAATGCAAGCTGTGAGAAGCCAATAAGGCAAGTCAAAAGAAGCTGCATCAGCACATAGGCTTTCCTGCATTAGATTTAAGTTACATGAGTATAGAATCTCACTTAATATGTTATCTTACAGCTACAAAGAAAGAAACCAATATCAATATATCTGTTCAAAAGCAAATCAAACTATCCTTCGTCAGGAATATTTTCTTACTTACCAGGTTGTGAGCTTCGTCAAATATGAGTATACTGTTCTTGAAATTCAGGTTTAGAGATTTTCTATACCCACGATCAATGAGATAATTATAAGGTGCAAATAAGATATCGACAACCTTATGGATCTCTCGGGACATATAATAAGGGCACCTGCAAGAAAAAATGTAAATACACACGCATGCGCGCGCGTATATATATATATACATGTATATATATATATGTATGTATGCATGCATTTAGATACATGTTAAAAAGCCACAAACTTCATACCACCAATGGTAGCAATGAATTCTACAAATGTTAAAAAGTGGGAGAAAGTGTTTAAAGCAAACTATTGAGTAGCATAAAAGCAAAAACGAAAAACTATTGAAGAGAACCTACGGCCCAGATGATTTTCCAATATTGACCAAATCTTCAATATCTATAGGCTCATCTCCAAGGTGAGGATTGCTCTTCAAGTAATCTGCAATAGAAGAATGCAATATATAAAGAAATTAAGAGAATTTAATACTTTAGAAGTATCACCACTCACTTTAGTGCAGAACAATATCCACAAAAAGGTATCTCAGAAATTCACAATCCTTAGAAATATTCATGTTACCAGAGGTCAGGAAAATCACCTTGTTAGATTTTTTTTCCCTTACACCACATACTCCATCTTACTTTAATTGAGTAACACACAATCACAAAGTTTTACAGAATTACACGTTCACCTAATCTTTTCAGGAGACCCAGCGTGAGAGGTAGCAAGGTGGCATAAGCAATGACATGAAGACAAGTTATGGCAGGATTCAAGTATAAAACTCGGTGAACATATGTGAATGAAAACATAATTGAATGTATTCCTTTAAGTTCTGTGCATGTATCCATATTTGAATGTGTAATTTCTTTCAAGTTTTGTGCTTGAATAAACTATAGCAACTCTTCATGAATATATATATAGATATATAGACATCACAAACACAAAGACAGTCACAATCATAAGACAAAGTTCAATTGAAATACCAGCAACATGATAATAATGAGCACAGCTAGCACGCTTTTCTTGCTTTTCATGCTTTTCGTCCTGATGACGGCTTTTGCGAAGCAGGAGGCAAGCATTTGATTGTGCTTTCCCATGGAGTGAACTAACTGTATCATGAATGCATAACTGCTCTCGAGACCCTAATACTACCATTTTGGGCCTGTGTATTTGCAAATATCCATCAAGTTGAGCTTTCGCATATTTCAAAACATCAAAAAAGCAGCACATGCACGAGTTCAAAAGGAAAACAATAATACCGAAACCAAAAACCACCAATTGGGAGGGAAATATGAATAGTGCACAAATCTTAGAACTCCTTGTACTACGGAGTTTCCAATACAAAAATTATATTTTGTACTAAAGCATCTGAGCATCAGAATTGCAACATTCACCATTGTGGAATACAAATGGTTGGAATAAAAACTAAATCCATCAAGATAAATTTAAAATAAGTAATCTATACACAGTTTAAATTAATGTATTATACAATCTGTAAATCTCCATAACTGATGTCTATAGCTACGTCTCCCATAACATGTAACAGCGTTATCATAAATAATCATAAAGCATATCAAAGAACAAGTGACTAAAGCAGAAATATGGAAGATCGATGTCGGTTTTTTCTTCTAAATTGGGTGTGGGGGATTTGAACAGACCTCAACATTGGAGGCGATGGTGTGAATTTACCGTTAGGTTATATGCCTACAACAACAAGATGAATGTCATGCCGTACCCATGTTTTGGGGAGAAAAACGGCATAAAACATATTCATATAACAATGTTATGTACTTATGTTTCAACTGCTTTACGGTCCTCCCATGACTGACCTATAAGACGTTCTTTTCAACTCTTGAATTACTTGCCGAATCTGGCTGTGAGTGCGCGATGTATATGCAATGGTAGGAAGCTTTGGGGTTGAAGACTGCGACTTTGAATCGTACTGACTGCTGCTCACACTAATGCCAGTCGAGAAACTGCCCAAACTCTTCCTCCACGCCAACGTTGCACAGAGAAGACATAGTGTTTTCCCAGTTCCCGTGGGACTCTCCAGAAGCGCATTGCATTTCTACAACATTTATTTGAAAAAAAAAAATTGCACGTTACTTTTCCATAGAATATACTGACTCATACCAAATCCAAGTCAATAGTGCTACCAAAAAAAAAAAAAAATGTTTACCATACACCAGAACAACGAAATCAATTACTCTTTTTTTTCCTTAATAGATCAAATTATTGAATATGACATTCTAACAACTGACATTGAAAGAATGCTCTTATATGAATTATTAGCTTATAAATTGGAATTTCATAACATGTAAAAGTAATTCTACCGCAACATTTCTGATTTCACAGCAAAGCCGAAATTCAGTAGAAAGGCGATTATCGCAATCAAGAAGCTCTAGTAGACTCGATTACATAGTATGTCAACGACGACGCGTTACGAAAGCTTACATTTTGGAGAGATTGAATGACTTTGTCCATATAAACAAGCTGGCAATCGTAGGCCTCGAATGGAAAATCGACATCGATGCCTCTGATCTTGTATGTCGGCATCTTTCTGCTCACGACTCGACTGAATAGAAAATGCGGGAAAAAGTTTTCCGAGAAAGAGAATCAGAACTTTTTGTTCGTCAATTACAAACCCTAGAAAAATCTGGCGGCACAAATTGCATATGTAGGTTTCTATTTTCCCGCCATGGAAGGGTTCTTTTTTTTTTTTTTAATAGAATCTGCTTCCGATTTGAGACGAATTATTCTTATAAGATGATAACGATATGTCGTATATATGGGTCTCAAATTACGTGTCTTTTTTTTTAAGGGGAAAAAAAATACTGGACAATAGATATACAAGCATCTGTAATCCGTACTCTAATTGGAGTGAACATAAATCGGAGTAAATAAAATTTAGAGTGAATAAAAATCAGAATTAGGAATTGAAATTAAGAATCAGAGTCAGAATAAGTTGTTTATTTAAATTCTAAGAATTAGAGTTTGAATTAGTCACAATCTCATTCATGCGTTTACTTACATCCATAATCAGAATAAATTGTTATAAATTTACTCACCTACTCTTTTAGTAGATTTTTGTGTGTTGAACTTTAAAAAAAATTATATATTATGCTAACTATTTTAATATTAGAATAATTAATTAGTAATTAAATTTTTTTAATCACACCTAATTAATCATCTAAATTATTTTTTCTCAATAAATTTTGAAATAATTTAAAGAAAAAAATATAATGATGAAATCAAATAAAAACAAATGCTTAATCATGTATATATATATATATTGAAATAAAATAAAAGGTATTAATGGTTAAAATTAAATATATATATATAAATGGTTAAAAAGTATTAATCATGAAATTTTGAAATAAATAAATATATATATATATATTTATTGTGCATTTTGTTTTTACTATTTTCTCTCCTTCTTATTTGATTCACTTTCCTCTAATGTAAATGGTTGACCCAGTTAATTTTTTTTAACCAAAAAAAAGACTCTGATAATTAATTGATTTCTCTTTATCAAGAAATAAAACCAACACTCTATATTTAATCAATTCTCTTTCTTTCTTTCACAAAAAAAAAAAAAAAAAAAAAAAAAAAAAAAAAAACTCCCTCTCCCTACTCTAACCCATATTTTTATTTTTCTCTTTCTCGTATTTTCTTCTCATTCTTCTATTCGATTTCACTCTCTCCTTTGTAAATCTAGATAGTTGACTTGTTAATTTTTTTTTAAATGACACCGATACTTAATTGTCACTCTATAAGCAACATGAGTAGACTTTCTCATAAAAAAATAAATAAATAAAAGAGGTACAAACCTGCATTTTTACAACAAGGTATTGTGATTCAGCAAAAAGAAAAAAAAATGAAATAAAATAAATTAAAACATAGCATAGTGTAAGTCAGGTACAATGGAAGCAAATAGGAAAATAAAAATTCAAACTACGATCAAGCAGATTATTTCAACTGGTCTTGAAATGTCTTTAAGATTAGCAGCTTGGCCGTTGAGAGCACAGAGAGAGATTTTTTTAATTTTTTACTTTTTACTTTTTAATACATGCATTCTATCTATTTAGTTTCTGTTTTGTGATTTTAAAATGCACTTTTTCTCTTACTCTACTCTTACTAATATAATTTCTTTCATAAGCCAACACTTAAATTTCTTTTATTTTTTATTTTCGTTTTGTCAATCTTTGCAATGTAATATTTTTTAATGTGCTTCTTTTAAATAGCTTTTTTCCAAGTATCTTTTGATATATAGAAAGCTCTATAAGATCTTTTCATTTCGACGAAAACACAAATTTCGGTTGAAACGTGCATTTTGCTACCCCTCCCTTTTTATCCCTTTTTTCAAGTCTTTTATTTTAATTTTTCATTTTTATCCTGAAACTTTTTCATTTTGGTATTTTTTCTAACTTTTTTTTGTCCTTTTTTGCCCTAAATTTTTATTTCCCTTTTTCTCAAGTCTTTTATTTCATTTTTTATTTTTTTACTCCAAAACTTATTTATGTTATTAACATAATTTTTTTCATATGTGCCCTTGCTTTTTTTTTGTCTTGTTATTCTCATTTTGCCAAAATATTTTCTACAATATAATCCTTTTTTGTGTATTTATTTTAAATAATTTTTTTCCTGAGTATTCTCATTGAAATATATCTTTTCAAATGTGTCCTTATTCAATTTTTTGTATGCAAAATCATTGTTATTTAATGACGATACGTTAAATATGTTTGTGTTAGTTGTGCATACTAACAAACTAAGATTTTTATTATTAATAAATTATAAAAATAATAACATAGTAATCAAAACTTAACACGCAGATTACTCTACATGTGCATAGCAAAAAAAGAAAACTGAAATGTATATTTTTTATGCAGGTTTTTCAGAGAGTGTTATAATAACACTCTCTGTAACACTGTCGTGTGCGAAAACATCAAAGTAATAAAGTAAGAAATAATAGTGCATCAACATAAAGAACACCAAGAATTGGTATCGTAATTTGGTGCGCACACCTACATCTGTGGGCCACATCCAGACAGTAAATAATCCACTAAGTTTCAATATTACAAACACCTATCGGACTTGTACACCCAAATACTCCCTCCTTGATGGTGTCGCCGCCGTGTCGAATCTCCTTAATGGCCTTGTCCAGCGGGCATCATTCGTCTTCAAACTGCATGGTGAAATCCCGTTGGCTGGTAGTGCGCTTCCTCCCGAAAGCTTATAATCCTTTTCCTGAAAGACGAACTCAATGAACACTATTGAAGACTCACAAATGCACAGACTTTTTCTGAATATTTTTCTGTAAAACCATGGTACAAAACGAGCTGAAACAAAACCTTAATATAAGGTTTCAATCTTTCATACGATCACTAATATTTTCCTCCTCAATTCTCTACAAAGGAGTTTTCATGACTTTCTCTCGACAATCTTGTACCTTATTACCACATTGAATTTGGTCTCAAAAACCAATTACGTTCAGATTCTCTTTTCCAATTTTGGTGGTCAACCAAATTTCAACTCACAGATTGATATTATTTCTATCACGCCAACTAATGACTCTCTGTCACGCCCCCCAAGCGGGGTGGGTGACGTGGAGTTCGATTAGAAATTAATAAAGCATATTCCCAACCGGGCCCCACACTTGACTGCATTAAAATATGAATAAATTACTACAGAATCCAGGAGCCTCTGACACACAGGGCTCCACCCCACAGGGCATACAGTATCGTACATACATGCTCATGTAAATAATCATTACAACAGACATCAACCACAGTCTAGTAAATCCAAATATTACATAAGATTACATAATTTCTCAAATTCCTTACATTTGTCCAAGGGGATGTCCACGATCCTCACTTGATTCCAACAGCAGCACAACTCAGCTGCTCCGTAGCAATTTTCCAGCTATAATGCCCCGCTCCTAGAGTCTCCTGGGAGGGGTTTAATACATTTGAAATATAAAACGTGAGCGAAAGGCCCAGTAGGATATAATTTGAAATAAACGTTATAAATAAATGAATCATAAGTGTGCGAGGAAATACATAAATGAATAAGTAAATAAAATAAGACATTCAGTCCCAACAGAACAGCCGGAACCTCACATCCTTTTTCTCAAAGGAAAAAAAAATGTAAATAACCGTTTTTCAGGCTTCAGCCAGTAATTAGTACAAATTACTTACCTAACCAAGTGCCTCGCCTACCCGGACTGAGTTGTGGGTTCTGCCCCCGATGATGCCCTCTCCGCATCCTATCTAGGCTTACAGTAATAGACTCTATTACCAGTTCACAAGATCTCTTTGCTTAAGAAATCATTCATTAACATTTTGAAATCGTTAATACGACCCCACGAACTACTCAAGCCGCGGGCCTCATGACTGGACAAGCCATGCGGTTCCATGACTAAACAAGCCATGGTTTTCAAAGCGTTTTCTTTCACAAATCAATCCCTTTCTTTAAAACATTTTCAAGGCCAAAATCCTTTTTGAAAACAGGCTCACAAGGAAAAAGGGATAGAAATCCTACCTCGCACTATCAAACTTAGGACTAGCGTCGCCTTTTCCGGCTTCCACTTCCTCAAGCCCATTCAGTCTGAATCTTCAGCGATCACTGATGCAAGACAACACTTTAGGATTAATTCTCATTCCTAAAGCAATCCAAATCTCAATTTCCAACTAAGATTTCCTATTAGTGTGCCCTAATCCATTTTCATGTTTCAAAATATCATTCCAAGGGTTTTCAATCTCAAATCAATGATTAACAATGCTAATCCATTTATCTCAAGTCCCCAAATGAAGCTAATTTGGGTTCTCCCCGAAAACAGGGGTCAAAACAGTAATTTCAGGCTAAACAGGGTCAAACCCCGTGTCAACTGGTCGACCGGTGACAGAGCAGTGCAACACTACCGGTCGACCGGTAGTGTGCACACCGGTCGACCGGACAGGTCGACCGGTCAGCCTGCAATCCGGTCAACCACATATGTCGACCGGTTTCCATGTGATCCGGTCGACCGCACAGGTCAACCGGTGAAATCAGCTGCGCGAGAGAAGCTCATAGAAATCAGTCCAAAACCTGCAAATCCAGTCCCAAATCGAGATATTTCAAAGGAAAACCACTAGATCTGGGTTCTAGGTCCTAAAACAAGTCTAAAGAACCCAAGATCTCCAATTTCTACTCTAGTTTTACTCAAAAACCATCAAAATCCGATTTGAACCAAAAATAAGTTTTGAAATTCAAAAACTTGAGATTCAAGAGAGGTTCTTTCAGTAATCTTATCTCGAATCCTTCTCTTGACGTTGTAAACTTCTTTAAATCTTTTCTTGGTTCAAGATCCGTTTGATTTGGGACACAAATGAGAGAGTGTATGAGAGTGAAGGAGAGAGTGAGAGTGTGCACGGGAAAGGAAAGAGAAAGGAAAGGAAAAAGGAAAAAGGAAAAGAAAAGAAAAGGAAAAGGAAAAGAAAATGACATGTGTCAATATTTTAAAAGAGCAGTCCAGAAATGCGCCCATACACACTTCTTGTTTAAAATAAATTATTAAGAATAATTTAAATACCTTGAAACTATTTAAACTCACACGTGTCAGAAACATTCATTAATTAAACTCAATTAATAATCCAGATTAGGCACACTAATAATCTCAATTACCTTAATTAATCTTAATTAATTCTTCAAGGTGTTACAACTCCACCCCTTTAGGCAATTTCGTCCCTGA